CCTGGCTTCTTCACCACACCTTCTAGGAAGGCTGTTTGCTGGGAGGGTGATCCAGGTAACAGGGAGGGGCAGAGCACTCAGGAACCAAAGGGTAGGAAATAGCCCTGCAAGGGGGAGGATGAGGGAGGGACACCTGGGTGGCTCAGTGGTGTGGCGTCTGCCTTCGGCTCAGGTGATCCCAGGGTCCTGGGATCGAGTCCCAGGAGCCTGCTCCTCCCTCTGCCTATGTCTGTGCCTCTCTCTGGGTTTCTCATGAATAAATAAAATATTAAAAGCGGGGGGGGGGCATTGAGGGAACATCAGTTTCAGAAGCAGAAAGTGAATTTCAGAGGCTGGAGGGGATGACTGAGGAGTGGCCCCAGTTCACTTGAGGGCATGTTTCCTGCAGCATCTTGGCAGCCTGGGCACGGAGGAGAGGGGCCAGATGGCTGGGATGGCTAGACTGATCCGGTGCCTGGGAACTACCAGGTGGGTGCGGCAGAAGGAAAGAGATGGAGGATGCTGGGGTGCTGGCAAGAGAGTGCTTGACATATGTGCCCTGCAGTCTGGGCTGAATGGGGAGGAAGTGAAGCCAGGAGGGAGAAAGGAGAGCCCCTGGGGGGTTCTGCGCTGGGCTGCAGAGGACTTTATTGAAGTCACTTCTGGTCACCACATCCCACCGTCTAGGAGTAGCCGGTTCCCGGGACTGGGGGGAGAGGCGGCTCAGACCAAATCTGGCCATGGCAGAGATGGGAGGGGCTGGACTTTGAGCCCCCCCAGAGCCTTTGTTTCCCCCAAGGAGCAGAGGCTGAGGGACAAGACCAGCCTGGCCCCAGTGACGAGGGAGGCCGCCTTGGCCTGATCCTCAGCCCCGAGGAGGTCCGAATAAATGTGATTTTGTGAAAGTGAAGAGACCTTGGAGATTATTTCATCAGGACAAGACAGTTGCTTCAGGAGAGAGGGGGGATCTCTGGGTGGCTCAGTGGCTGACCATCTGCCTTCAGCCTGGGATGTGATCCTGGAGTCCTGGGATCGAGTCCCACAGGGGGCTCCCTGCATGGAGCTTGTTTCTCCCTCTGCCTGTCTCTGCCTCCCTCTCTCTCTCCATGTCTCTCATGATTAAATACATAAAATCTTAAAAAAAAAAGGGGGGGTGCAGGAGAGAGGGACACCTGGGAGGCTCAGCAGCTGAGCATCTATCTTTGGCTCAGGGCATGGTCCGGGGGTCCTGGATCGAGTCCCACATCAGGCTCCCTGCATGGAGCCTGCTTCTCTCTTTGCCTGTGTCTCTGCCTCTGTGTGTCTCTCATGAATAAATAGATAAAATCTTTAAAAAAAAAAAGGGGCTGTGAAGCAGCTGACCCCCCATCCCCACCAGCCTGGATGGGGTTCAGACCCAGGGGCTTTAAGTTGTTGCCTCTGATTAGCCCAGGACCACGCTCTGAAGTTCACAGAGCGTCTTCCCGCCTGGCTTGTTTTAGTGCAGGACGAGTCTTGGTTTTCTAGTTGGTTTGTACCTGGGTTTGAAGATGTCCAGGCTTCCCTGCCTTCTCCGCAGCTCCCGCCTCACTGCTGCCTGGGGCTTGCTTTCTGATGGATGAATTGGTGGGAAGAGCGCATATTTTCGGGAAGAAGTATCCCGGGGAGTCCGAATTTCCAAGTAGCATTATTTCTTTCTATATTCATAGGGATCTTCCTTTCTTTTGACCCTTGTTAAGCCAGCATTACTCTGGACGTGTGGTGTATGCTTCGTCACCAGAGCTTCATCTGCACACGTACGAATTAAAGCAATGCTTTACGAAAAAAAATAAAGCAATGCTTTTCTGAACCCAGTTTTACAAGGAAGCCTGTTTCTTGCAGACCACATGACTCAGCTGCACGAAGTTAAGTTAGTTGAAACCCACTTAAAGTAGAAAATTAATTCAGAGCTTCCTTTTATTATTTTAATTTTAATTTTTTAAAGATTTTATTTGAAAGAGAGAGGGAGAGCCTAGAGGGAGAGAGGGAGAAGCAGACTCCCAATGAACAGAGAGCTGATGTGAGACTCGACCCCAGGACCCTGAGATCATGACCTGAGCTGAAGGCAGATGCTCAACTGACTGAGTCACCCAGGGGCCCCCAGAGCTTCCTTTTAGTTCATCAGGCAGCACCAAGGTGAGGAAAAGGGAACAAAGATGATGGGCCTTAGCAAGCATCAATAGAGAGGAGCTTATCTTCCCTAGGAATATTCCACTAAGAAATAGAAAGGTCCCTGATGGGAAGCAGCTCAGCTAAAGCTAGCCATGCCTTACAGTTTGCTTTTGTAGTTTAGAGGACAGAGTAGGCTTTGTGGAGTCAAAAGCATCCTGGGCAGAAGGTGCCAAGTCTCTGTGCTTTGGAAACATCTCTGCTATTCTAGGTAATGAAAGCAGAACTAGTCTGAGAACAGCCTGGAAAACCAGAAGTAGCAATTCTATTTCTGTAAAGCAGAGCCTTTTGTGTGGGATGTTTGCTGAGAGCTGGGATCAAAATTGGTGACGTCACTAAACCAGAGATCACTGGTATCAGAGTGGCCAGGTACCAGGAGATCTCCAAAATTCTTGCACTTTTTAAATGACAAGTGGGGGGGGATCCCTGGGTGGCGCAGCGGTTTAGCGCCTGCCTTTGGCCCAGGGCGCGATCCTGCAGGTCCGGGATCGAATCCCACGTCGGGCTCCTGGTGCATGGAGCCAGCTTCTCCCTCTGCCTGTGTCTCTGCCTCTCTCTCTCTCTGTGTGACTATCATAAATAAATAAAGAAAAAATTAAAAAAAAATGACAAGTGGGAAAATAAAAACCACCTAGAATTTTTTTTAAGAAGCCTCTATGTCCATACTGAGTTCCTAGAGCTAATGTTCCATCAGAAACTTAAGGGGAATGCTTATTGTCATCACCTTACCTGTTTGGACTCGTTTCTACCACTTCCAAGAGCTGTTGTCACCTCTCCAAAGATAGAAAGGAGTACTGACACAGGACCTTAGTTGTGACCATGTGGTCCCAAAAGTAAGACTCCTTTTTTTTTTTAAAGATTTTATTTATTTATTCATTAGAGACACACACACACAAAGAGAGAGAGAGAGAGAGAGAGAGAGAGAGAGAGAGAGAGAGAAAGAGAGAAAGAGAGAGGCAGAGCACAGGCAGAGGGATAAGCAGGTTCCATGCAGGGACCCCAATGTGGGACTTGATCCCGGGACTCCAGGATCATGCCCTGGGCTGAAGGTGGTGCTAAACTGCTGAGCCACCCAGGGATCCCCAGCCAAAAGTAAGACTTCTAAAGAAAACATGTTCACCTGAAATCATCTTGAATCTTAAAACATGCTATTAGTGACTATGCATTTAATTTATAAAAGAAACAGTATAAATTACATTATTTTCCCCTTAAAGACATATATATACACATATATAATACACATATATACACATATATATGTATGAAGGCGGCGCTAAACCGCTGAGCCACCCAGGCTGCCCAAAATGCTCTTTTTTTCTACTTTTCCCTGATTGCATTCTCATGATTCACTCTTAGTGATCAAGATGTTGGGATCCCTGGGTGGCTCAGCGGTTTAGCGCCTGCCTTCAGCCCAGGACATGACCTGGAGTCCTGGATTGAGTTCCGCTTCGGGCTTCCTGCATGGAGCTTGCTTCTCCCTCTGCCTGTGTCTCTGCCTCTCTCTGTGTGTCTCTCATGAATAAATAAATAAAATCTTTTTAAAAAATGCTTTGGGTGGTTTGTTCTCCAGCGTGAGATTTATTTATTTTTTATTTATTTTTAAGATTTTATTTTATTTATTCATGAGAGATACAGAGTGAGCGAGCGGCAGAGGGAGAAGCAGGCTCCACGCAGGGAGCCCGATGTGGGACTCGATTCGAGTCTCCAGGATCAGGCCCTGGGCTGCAGGCCGTGCTAAACCGCTGCGCCAAACCACTGTGCCACCGGGGCTGCCCGCCCCCCCCCCTTTTTAAGATTTTATTTTCAGTGTGAGATTTATTGTGTCCACACAGAATCAATGATCTTTGTCATTTTAAACCTTCCAGCTAGAGGCAGCCCTCGAAGCCGCCTCCCGAACGCACACTGAGAAATGAGGGGCACACTGGTTTTTAGACGCTGCAGCATGCAAACGACCAATGGGGCACTTCTTGCCTCTCCTCTAAAGAAAACAAATAGCTGCTCCTTTGCAGGCCTGTGAGCTGAGCCGGCTCAAACTCCAACTGCACAGCTTTGTGGGATTACCAGATGTGGAGGCTGTGCCTGAAGGCAAGGGTTCTCTCCTTTTTCTTCTTGTATATTTTATTAGAGTTCGATTTGCCAACATATAGCATAACACCCAGTGTTCTCTCCTTTTTGCCCCTTCGATACCTTAGCATCCAAACCACATCTCTCAGGAATCTTTCCCCCTTCCCCCACCTCAGGAAGATTTTTACTTTCAAAAAGTACTTATTGGGGCACCTGGGTAGATCAGTCCCTTAAGCATCTAACTCTTGATTTTGGCTCAGGTAACGATCTAGGGGTCATGAGATCGAGCCCCGTGTTGCACTCTGTGCTTAGCTCGGAGTGGGCTGGAGACTCTCCTCTCCTCTTCCCCCGCTCTGCCTGTCAGCCCCTCTCCTCCTGTGCATGAGCGCTGTCTCTCTCAAATAAATAAAATCTCTTTTTAAAAAAGTACTTTAAAAAATCTGATAACCCCACAGATCTTGATTGCTTAAGCAGCCAAAATTTCATGCCATCACTCCCAGTAGTCTAATGGGTGAAGTACAATAACTGTATTATGATTCTTTTCTATACATTGTCATCAACTCCCTATCACCAACCATCTCAGATCATAAAATCCTCAGTATTGAATATAAAAGGGCATGTTTTATGAAACAGAAATCTCATACCTTTGGGGAAAAAATCTGATCACATATTCTGATTTTTTTACAGATTGACTTATTTTATTTTTTAAGATTTTACTTATTTACTTTAGAGAAAGAGAGAACATGAGTAGGGGAAGAAGCAGACGGAGAGGGACAAGTAGACTCTGCTGAGCATGGACATGGATGTGGGGCTCAATCCCAAACACCCTGAGATCATGACCTGAGCTGAAATCAAGAGTCAGATGCTTAACTGACTGAACCACCCAGGTGGCCCCATATATGATTTTTTTATTCCAAAAATATCATCACACTGGGGTGCTTTGTATAAACTTTCTCCAAAATTACTTGAAACAAAAAAAGAAAAAAAAAAGACAGTATTTCTGAACTTTCTTTTCTTTCTTTTTTTTCTGAACAACTTTCAAACAAAGGTTTGCCCTCAGCAGTTTATAACTGTTTGGGAATTTGTCCTTGAAAGATATCCTCTTAGGGACAAAAGGTGAGGTTTTAGCTGTGTGCTCTCTACTTAAAATGCTGAGTTTTAAGCTGTGACTTTAGGTTTTAGGGTGTGAGTAAGGTATGGAATAGGAGGGCAGATGCTCACATTGGCAGCACAAATACTAACGTGGGTACAGATACTGAGAGGATTTGGCATGGCCCCCTGTGCAAGGAAGACATGAAAATTTGTGAAGCGTTCCAAATTAGAAATCAAACCAAACAACTGAAAAGGAACTCGGGCAGATATTCCCCTTAAAAAGACACACAGTGTGTAAGGAGGGGAGTGAGGTGGGCAGTATATAGGAACTCTCAGTACTGTCCCCTCAAGTTCTCGGTAAATCTAAACTGTTCTCAAAATAAAACCTATTAATTATAAACACACACAAAATAGCACAGACACTGGAATTGTAATAAAATTTGTGGTTCTGATTATTAGTCATCCAGGTGATTGGTGGCTGAAGGAGTTTACAAGTGGTCATAAAAAACACATGAAACAGGAAACTTTCAATCCAATGTGATAGGAAGAGGGGAAAGTCAAAACAGGAGACCTGGGATGAGCTAGAGTGACCTTTCCTCAACATGACTCCAGCATGTTGATGTAAAAGGCTGCTGCCAGCAGGCTACACTTGATGCTTGCGAGAGATCTAAAAATATAAAGTACCTGTTCACTTAAAGTTACAAGATTAACCAATCAAAGGAAGCAACTGGCTATTGAGACAGAATTTTAATCAATGGGTTAAAAATGTATGTAACTGTGTTGAACATAATATATGTAATCCTGAATTCCAGCTAATACATGTATTGTTTTCTCTACGTGGTAATCCTCAGCACCAGCAAACCTGATAAATCATTGACTAGCCATTTTGTTGCTAGAAAGCTTTGACACGAGACTGCTTTTGTAACGTAGCACACTCCCATATTATGTTTAGAGTGGAATTTGAGCTCTTAAAATTGATTTGCACTAATTTTAGAGAGAATATTTATTGGTTAAAATGAGGTATATCTGTGCTGTAGGTTCATGAGCACACACTTCAATTTCTGATAAAGGAAGCTTTTCTATAACCATTATAAAATTTTACTTTGTGAAAAGAGCAATCTAATTCATGAGATATGCATCCTAAGGGCATGCACACAATGTAAGCACATAGCATAAGGTCAGCGTGCGATGAACACACAACACAGTATGTCTCGCGTCAATGTAGCTCCCAATCATAGAACTCCTCTCATTACAAAATGTATCTAACCCAAAACAGGCCAAGGAAGCACCTGTGTGGCATGGCCAAGGCACCCTAGGGGTATGTGTATATGTGCAAGGATGGGTACACTGTCATGGTGGCGCGACTTCTCTTTGTGGCAGGATATCTGTTCCTGGGCCAGAGTGGCTTCATATCTGGAGCTGGCTCTTGGCTGGAGTTTGTGCTTCTCTTTGGACAGCACGACACTGTGAATCTCGGCTTCTGTATCTGTGCAAACAAGATAGAAAGGTTGAATCGCTTTAGGTTGCAATTTCTAAAGTTTTTTTTTTTTTAAGATTTTATTTATTTATTCATGAAAGACACAGAATGAGAGAGAGGCAGAGACACAGGCAGAGGGAGAAGCAGGCTCCATGCACGGAGCCCAATGTGGGACTCGATCCTGGGATTCCAGGATCACGCCCTGGGCCGAAGGCAGGCACTAAACTGCTGAGCCACACAGGCGTCCCTCAATTTCTAAAGTTACAGAGTTGGAGTTGGTTTTACAAGGAGTTAGTGAGAAGTATTTGCATTTCCCCCCAAATACCAAAATACAAAGTAGTTAATGTTGCACCAGGGCAGAGGTGAATCAAGCATTTGCCCAAGTCCTTTGGAGAGCTGAAAAAAGGTCCTTAATTGCCTGAGCTCAACGATTGCTTTCATAAGCCATCTAGAGACATTACACAAAGAGAAGAACCTGATCTGTCAAGATAGGAGACTGACCCACTGTTTGTGACTCTGCTTATCTGATTATACCTGTGAGTTAAATGCTTATGTCTCAGCTAGAAAAACATTCTGCCAGAAATGGTAAGAAAATGGAGGTAAAGGTAAGAAAGCCTGGATGGAGGAGAGGAGAGAGGAGGGAGGAGACAGGAGAGAGGATGAGAGAGGAGGGGAGGAGGGGAGGAGGGAGGGGAGAAGAGAGAGAAGAGAAGAGAAGAGAAGAGAAGAGAGAAGAGAAGAGAAGAGAAGAGAAGAGAAGAGAAGAGACGAGACGAGACTGAATGGCATTTACCTGCTACACTGGGTTTCACTGAATCCCTGGTTACATGTTACAGCCTAACCAGCAGCTTTCAACTGTGGGATGTGGCTTCCTGCAGTGAATGCCAAAGAGGCAAGGGGGCAGTTTGTGGCTCCCCTGCCTGGCAGGACAGAAATCCATGTGTTTTTTTGTTTGTTTGTTTGTTTTTTTTTTTAAGATTCTATTTATTTATTCATGAGAGACACCGCAGAGAAGAGTGGCAGAGACACAGGCAGAGGGAGGTGCAGGCTCCCTGCGGGGAGCCCAATGCAGGACTGGATCCCAGGACCCGGGGATCATGCCCTGAGCCAAAGGGAGATGCTCAACCACTGAAGCACTCAGGTGCCCCCAGAAATCCTCTTTGATTTGAATTTACCTAAACCTCTCTTCCCACTGCTCTCCAGGCTCTGTTATGCCACAGTGACTGGACTATGTCTCACCACCCCTCCTAGAGGGTGGCTGCCTTAAGGGAGGGATCAGGTATTCCAGTCCTCAAGTGGTCCCGCATCTCATAGGATCTCTATAAGATACTGTGGGATAAATGGGAGCACAGTCTGAGAAGTCCCAAACAACAGCCTTGGCAAAACAGCAGGGACCTCTCCTTGGGACAACTGTCCATTTTCTATCTGGTGTAGCCATGTTAGTCTGATGGTTCTCAATCTTTGTTCACCCTGGGTGCCTGTGAGCAGCACCCTCCCATAGACGTACCCAGGGCTATTTGACATAACAGCTTACTAGCTGTTTCTCCACCTCTTTTTCTTCCTTCTCAGGAAAGAATATGCAAATGCAAATGTGCAAGAGAGATACTTATTAGAGGGGACAAATACTAACTCATTCTAACTTATTCCCTTAAAAAAGCAAATCATTCACAAACCTCGGTATTCAATGATCACTGGTAATACTGCATGTGAGGCACACCTCATGCCTGATGGTGGCACCCCCGTTTGTTGTTAACATCTCCTAGGGTTGAGAACCACCACATTATTCACTATCACTGTTTTCTCAACTGTTGCCATGGAGTTACAAAATAATAGCCACCTACCAAATGTTTGTTAAAATAAAAACTAAATTCTCCAGGGCAAGCTTTAAGCCCTAGGTGGGATTTCTCCCCTCTTGTGGCCCCTTGTGGATTGTATCCCTTGGTGGTCAAGTGGCTTAGACGTTCACCTGAGTGAATGAATTCTAGAAGGTGAAAGTGTGGATTGCTACCTCTCCAAACCATGTCATATACTTAAAAGCCAAATCAAATTAGTGGCTGGCATATATGTATACATAGTAGTGAAATACCTGCATTCCCTCTCTATTCTTCGTCAGAATCAAGGAGGTCATTTTTGATGGGTCCAGGGAGGTGCCCTTGTCTCTTCCACGTAGCTGTGACTGAGATAAACAAACACAATCTCACTAAAGCTTCCACTTGCACAAGTGTGATTACATAGAATATACAGTGAGGGTTCTTTTATTCCTGCATGTTAGATCATTACATATGATACAGATAGAGAGGCAAAATGCAAATGAATGATAATTTGAAGAAAAGAAGGAAACTGATATTTATGGAGTGCCTATCATTTGCCAGGCATGTAACACACAGTTTCACATCTAATTTTCTCAACAACCTTTGTGATGTATGTATTATCACCCCAATATTTTAGATGTAGAAACTGAGTCCCAGAGTTCAGTAACTCATGGAAAATGATAGGCTGGAATCTGAACTCAAGACAGACTTGAAAGCTGTGCTCTTGCTACTATCACACTAGACACCAAATGGCCCTCAATGTGGAGCAGTGCTCTGTGGGGATTCCTCAGTGTAACACAGTGGGACCTCATTATATCACTGTTAACCATAGGGTAGCATTTTGCATGAGAAGGGCTTATTTTGTACCATATACACTAAGAGTTATCTACTACTATACCAAAACTTATTTTAAAATATTTTTTAAGTTTATTTTTTTCTTTTTGGTAATCTTTACACCCAACATGGGTCTTGAAATCACACAGAGATCAAGAGTTCCATGCTCTTCTGAGTCAACCAAGCTCCCCACCAAAACATATTATTATTTTTAAAGAGATTTTATTTATTTATTTGACAGAGAGAGAGAGAGAGAGAGAGAGAGAGAGAGGAGTGAGTGTGTACAGGAAGGCAGAGGGAGAGGGAGAAGCAGGCTCCCTGCTGATCAAGGAGCCCAGTGCAGGGCTCAATCCCAGGACCCCAGGATCATGACCTGAGCCAAAGGCACATGTTTAACTGAATGGGTGCCACCCAGGTACCCCCAAAACTTATTTTTAGACATAAAAAAAAACCAAAAGGGGGGCATCTGAGTGGCTCAGTCAGTCAAGCGTCCAATTCTTGATTTCAGCTTGGGTCATGATCTCAGAGTCATGAGATCTGGCCCCAGGTTGTTGGGCTCTACATTCAGCAGGAGTCTGCTTGAGATTCTCTCTCTCTCCTCTCCCTCTCCCCCTGGTTGCTCTCTCTCTCTCTCTCTCAATCTAAAATAAATAAATGTATCTTTTAAAAGAAAGGATTTTATAGCCACATAATTCCAAAGTACTAAAAAAATGACTGGGCGTCTTTCCTCTGTGCTCCTACTTTATCCTACTATGTGATGTAATTTCCTGAGTCCTTATTAAAATTCCCCGTAGACTTTAACGTCCCTAAGGCAGAGATAGTGTTTTGTTCAATGTTACATTCTCAGCAGGCAGCAGAGCGTGTGGCATGTAGTGGCTACACAGTTCAATTTGTTGAATGGAGGGATGGACAGATGATGGAGCAGCCTGTTCTTATGTTCTAGGTATAAAATCAAATCACCAATATTTATTGCCAGACTAGTAATGTCTAATCCAAAGCAATGTCAATGTCCTCAGTAATTTTAATGTTCCTCTGCTCCTGGTGGCACAGACAGGTAAGGGTCACCTAGAGGCCTATTGTATTCTTCAGCCTGTGGGAGAGACATGCTAATTGGAAAAATCAGAGAATCTGCCACAAGAAGTCAAAGATGGAACAGGATAGAGACCAGAAATAAACTCATGTATATACTATCCATTAATTTTTTTACAAAAGAGTCAACATATACAATGGGGAAAAGATGGTCTCTTCCATAAATGGTATTGGGGAAAACTAGATATCTACATATAAAAGAATGAAATAATACCCCTAGCTTATACCAACACTAATGCCAACTCAAAATGGCTTAAAAACTTAAACTCAGGGAACCCTGGGTGGCACAGTGGTTTAGCGCCTGCCTTTGGCCCAGGGCGCGATCCTGGAGACCCAGGATCGAGTCCCAGGTCGGGCTCCCGGTGCATGGAGTGCTTCTCCCTCTGTCTATGTCTCTGCCTCTCTCTCTCTCTGTGACTATCATAAATAAATTAAAAAAAATAAAAAATAAAAAACTTAAGACCCCAAACCATAAAACTCCTAGAAAAAAACATAGGGTCCTTGACATTGGTCTTAACAATGATTTTCTGGATTTGACACCAAAAGCAAAATTAAAAGAGTGGGACTAGATCAAACTAAAAAGCTTCTGCACAGCAAAGGAAATCATCAACAAAATCAGAAGGCAAGTGTGCCTGCCTGGCTCAGTTGGCAGAGCATGTGACTGTGAAGTCAAGCCCCACAGTGGGGGTAGAGGTTACTTAAAAAATCTTTTTTTTAGCCCTCCCCCTCAAAAAACAGAATCAGAAGGAAACCTGTGGAATGAAAGTATTTGCAAATAATGTTATTCGGTCTTAAAAGAGAAGGAAATCCTGCCATTTGTGACAACATGGATGAAGCTGGAGGGCATTAGGCTTAGTAAAGGAAGCCCAAGAGAGAAAGACAACTGCTGCATGGTATCACTTATGTGTGGAGCCTAAAAAAAGGTCAAACTCATAGATACAGAGAGTTGAATGGTGGTTACTGGAGAGTGGGGGAAATAGGGAGGAGATGATAAAAGGGCATAACCTTTCAGTTATTAAAGGGAAAAAAGGTAACTACATGAGGTGGAGGATGTGTTAATTCACCAGAGGTATACTAGGTAGATGTGTTAATTCACTCAGTGCTGGGAACCCTCTCATGGTGTGTAAATATATCAAATATCATGTTGTACACTTTATTACCCAAAAAATGTTTTGATAAATTTTCCATGAATGAGTTTTTTTAAAAAAAAAGGGGCAAGCAAAACTACTACCTCATTCAACCTTGGTTTTTCATTTCGCATCATGGAAGAACTGGCGTTCTCTGAATTTCTGAAAAAGGTAGGCTGTTTTTGCAGAGCAGAAGCAAACCCTGCCCTTTCCTGGAAGAATTGAGTACAAAGAGAATATTTTTCAATTGATCTACTGTAATTAATCTACTCATAATTGACCCAGTTCACTTCTGTTAACACTTCCACGTCTGAAAGCAAGCATTTTCATCTTTAGGAAGCAGGGAGCATGATGTGGGGGTGGCAGCTGGGAGGAGACTGGGAAGGAGCCCGGCATCCTCATACTGGACGAGGCCTGACACCTCAGCCACGTGGGAACCCTGGACTGGCTCCAGCTACCACTTCTCCAGTACCACCTTTTCTTCTGGAAATCCAGACATGGTCAATACCCAGACCAGAGTACCATTCCAGAGTGTAGTACAGAATCAGTGGGTCAAGGCTGACATCTGCTCAGAGATGTCCAGAGGACTCAGGAAAGAGCTATGAACTCAAAATAGCTTCCTTACATCCCATTCCCTTGCTGGTTTAGAGTAAATTTTAACCCCTTGTCCTGCTCCCTCCATGGAATGCTCTTTAACCAGACAGCAGAAGTGGGCAACAGAGCCTTCTTACCGGGGCATCTTCTATTAACTTTAACTCCCGCATCAAATTATTTTTCTGATACTGTTCATTTCGCTGTTTCCTAGTCTGAAGTGGCTTCTTTTTCTTCTTCTTATACATCTTCTTCTTTTGATTCACCTATTCCAGATAGCATAGAGAAAGTAGTCACTGAGGATTCCCGAGGTACGCCCACCACATGGAACAGTCTTTCACACAACACTCAAGACACGATGGCTAGCCCAGTATGGAGGTCCTCATGGTGCTGAACTGCTGCTGGTTTGGAGAGCAAACAGTTCAGTTACCTCCTTAGCAGAGTCCACTCCCCATTTAACATCCCAAATCCCTCTAGAATAGGTATACTGCCAAAGGGGCAGTTACACTAATAACCAAATATCTGTGTTTTACAATATGAAGCCAGATTACTTACGGCAATAATGTCAGGTACATATAATATTATCAGGTTTGTGGTTAAAAGATTCAGTTTGGTTGGAGTGCCTGGGTGGCCCAGTCAGTTAAGTGTCTAACTCTTGATTTCGGTTCAGGTCATGATCTCAGGGTTGTGGAATTGAACCCCTTGTTAGGCTCTGTGCTGGGTGTGGAGGAGCCTGGCTAAGTTTCTCTCTCCTGCTCCCTCTGGCTCTCCCCTGACCCTTCCCCATCTCCTCACACTCTCTTTCTCTCTAAAAAAAAAGGAAAAAGAGGGATCCCTGGGTGGCGCAGTGGTTTGGCGCCTGCCTTTGGCCCAGGGCGCGATCCTGGAGACCCGGGATCGAATCCCACGTCAGGTTCCCGGTGCATGGAGCCTGCTTCTCCCTCTGCCTATGTCTCTGCCTCTCTCTCTCATTCTGTGTGACTATCATAAATAAATTAAAAAAAATTAAAAAAAAGGAAAAAGATTAAAAAAATGTTTTTAAAGATTGCATTTATTTATTCATGAGAAACACAGAGAGGCAGGCAGAGACACAGGCAGATGGAGAAGCTCCCCTCCGGGGAGCCTGATGTGGGACTCAATCCCAGGACTCCAGAATCACGCCCTGAGCCAAAGGCAGATGCTCAACTGCTGAGCCACCCAGGCGTCCCATTTGGCTCTGACCACAAGGTGGCTTTAATAATTAAGCAAATGAGGGATCCCTGGGTGGCGCAGCGGTTTGGCGCCTGCCTTTGGCCCAGGGCGCGATCCTGGAGACCCGGGATCGAATCCCACGTCGGGCTCCCGGTGCATGGAGCCTCCTTCTCCCTCTGCCTGTGTCTCTGCCTCTCTCTCTCTCTCTCTCTCTGTGACTATCATAAATAAATAAAAAAAATTAAAAAAAAAATAATTAAGCAAATGAGGCTAAGGACTAATTATCCAGAGACCTATGCTGGGGTAAAGCTTATATTGGTATTGTTATAAATCCAGCTTGAAAACATTATAGGGGGCAGCCTCGGTGGCACAGCAGTTTAGCGCCACCTGCAGCCCAGGGTGTGATCCTGGAGACCCGGGACCAAGTCCCATGTCAGGCTCCCTACATGGAGCCTGCTTCTCCCTCTGCCTGTATCTTTGCCTCTCTCTCTCTCTCTCTTTCTCTGTGTTGTTCATGAATAAATAAAGAAAATCTTTAAAAAAAAAACATTATAGGGTCTAATCTGATCTGGCTGGCTCCACCTGACACAGCCTTTTTTTTTTTTTTAAATATTTTACTTATTCATGAGAGACACAAAGAGAGAGGGAGAGACACAGGCAGAGGGAGAAGCAGGCTCCACGCAAGGAGCCCGACATAGGACTCGATCCCGGGTCTCCAGGATCACACCCTGGGCTACAGGCGGCGCTAAACCACTGCGCCACCAGGGCTGCCCCTGACACAGCCTTAATCTCAGCTTATGATGGAGATATTTCTTAATGCAACTAGGAAATCATGTGCATAATGAACCACAACAAATATTTTGCTGTTTCTAAAGCTCTTATATCATTTACACAAGAAAAAGTCTGTGAACAAGATGGAGCAAAAAAAAATTAATATATGGAAGTATAAAAAACTATCTACAACTACAAACTTCTTTAAAAAGTATGCATCAGGGCGCCTGGGTGGAGCATGCAATTCTTGATCTTGAGGTGGTGATTTCGAGGCCCATGTTAGGTGTAGAGATATGAATATAAAAATAAAATCTTAAATAAATAATTGAGTCATTTTTAACAACCTCTCTTAACATGGTTTTCACTTTTAGTTAAATTCTTTTTCTCGTTTTAGTTAACTTTCTAATAAACATGGAGTCTTCACATTTTTTTCCCTTAGATTTTTCCCTAGATTTTTATTTTAATTTTAATTTTTTTAAGATTTTAAATATTTATTCATGAGAGACACAGAGAAAGAGAGAGAGAGAGTGAGAGAGGCAGAGGGCAGCTCTGGTGGCTCAGCGGTTTAGCGCCACCTTCATTCAGCCCAGGGCGTGATCTGGGGTCCCTGGATCCAGTCCCACATCAGGCTCCCTGCATGGAGCCTGCTTCTCCCTCTGCCTGTCTCTCTCTCTCTCTCTCTCTCTCTCTCTCTCTCTGTCTCTTATGAATAAATAAAATCTTTAAAAAAAAAAAAAAAGAGAGAGGCAGAGACACAAGCAGAGGGAGAAGCAGGCTCCATGCAGGGAGCCTGACATGGGACTTGATCCTGGGTCTCCAGGATCAGGCCCTGGGCTGAAGGCGGCGCTAAACCACTGAGCCACCTGGGCTGCCCTTCCCTAGATTTTTTAAAAGGAAAGTTATAGAGGACAAAATGACAGACTCTAGGGTAGGGTAACCAGGTTTGATACTGTTGCTATATTTTTTGCAGATTTTTTTTAAAAGATTTTTCTGGGCAGGCTGGGTGGCTCAGCGGTTTAGTGACGCCTTCAGCCCAGGGTTGTGATCCTGGAGACCTGGGATCGAGTCCCACATCAGGCTCCCTGCATGGAGCCTGCTTCTCTCTCTCCCTGTGTCTCTGCCTCTCTCTCTCTCATGAATGAATAAATAAAATCTTTTTTAAAAAATTAAAAATCAATAAAAGATTTTACTTATTTATTCATGAGAGACACAGAGAGAGAGAGGCAGAGACAGAGGCAGAGGGAGAAGCAGGCTCCCTGCAGGGAGACTGATGCGGAACTTGATCCCAGGACCCTGGGATCACGCCCTGAGCAGAAGGCAGATGCTCAACCACTGAGCCACCCAGGAGTCCCTTCTACAGATTTTAGTTGGAACATTCCACCAGGAATTACCCAGGAGGGTCATCCTTTCCTTAAGGCTGCTACTTCCTGGGTGTGAGTCTGTACCATCTTACCTCATCTGCCATGCTCAGTAGGTGAACAGGGAGACCATCTGAGAGGGAACTGTCAGAACCACTGGTGCTATTTCCAAAAGGAAGGAGGAAAGGAAAATATCTGTTAGTAATGTCTAGGAAGGATAACAACCACCAGACCAGCAGCATGGAGTTAGGATATCCAGTCTGCTTTGCCCTCAATGCCTGGGTTTCAATGACTAAGAATTCTTGACTAGCATGTTCTCATTCATTCTGTTTTTTTTTTTTTTTGAAGATTTTGGGGGGGGATCCCTGGATGGCTCAGCAGTTTAGCACCTGCCTTTGGCCCAGGGCACGATCCTGGAGTCCCAGGATCAAGTCCCGCGTTGGGCTCCTAGCATGGAGCCTGCTTCTCCCTCTGCCTATGTCTCTGCCTCTCTGTCTGTGTGTGTCTCTCATGCATAAATAAATAAAATCTTTAAATAAATTAATTAATTAAATCTTTTAAAAAGATATTTATTTATGCATGAGAGACACACACACAGAGTGAGAGTGAGAGTGAGAGAGAGAGAGAGAGGCAGAGACACAGGCAGAGGGAGAAGCAGGCTCGGGATCTCTGGGTGGCGCAGCGGTTTGGTGCCTGCCTTTGGCCCAGGGCGCGATCCTGGAGACCCGGGATCGAATCCCACGTCGGGCTCCCGGTGCATGGAGCCTGCTTCTCCCTCTGCCTGTGTCTCTGCCCCTCTCTCTCTCTCTGTGTGTGACTATCATATATAAATAAAAATTAAAAAAAAAAAAAAAAAAAAGAAGCAGGCTCCATGCAGGGAACCCGACATGGGACTCGATCCCGGGTCTCCAGGATCACGTCCTGGGCCGAAGGCGGTGCCAAACCACTGAGCCACCTGGGCTGCCCTCTTCATTCATTCTGAACATGTATTGCATGCCAGGCAGTGCATCAAGCACAGTGATGAATGTGAAAGACCTCCTGCCCCCAAGGAGTTTGCAATTAATGTGGCAAAATAACTGGCCAGGTGGGCAAAGCTGCCCTTGGCAGTGACTGTAAGAGGCTGGAAGATTCTTATTGTGCAGCCCTAGAGAATACCAGGGTACTGTGATTTGTTTGGAAGCATGGCTTGTTTCATTTGTTCTGTCTGGCCAGGACCAGTTCAGAGAACAAGGATCCTACCAAGTGCTCTTTACAACTGTATTGAATATACACATAAACCTATTTGATAACAAGATATCCATAGGTCAGAGACCAAGAATATTGCTTTCATTATCCCAATTCCTGCTTCAAAGGTTGTGGATGCATGTCCAGGCTGATCTACAGTCTTCCCCCACAAATGGTCTGCCCCTTTCCTGCAAGGCCTAGGGCTCAGATAATCCATCCTTGCTGCCTTCATCACATCCATTGTTCAAGTATCACATTACATTTTCCTCTTTCCTGGGGTGTGGCTGGCTAGAATTGGGAACTGTGCTCTACCACCTGGCCTCCATATATTAAAAAATGTCTTAGGCACAAAATTCAGATCCCCTGGGACAAGGCGGCATTTCAAACCATTCTTTTGCTCAGGCCTTTCATCCTGTTCATGCTCCCCCTCCCTCTGTTTGGTACACAATGCAGAGCCCCACAGTAAGACAGCGGGAAGATAGCCCTCTCTTCTCTGATCTCATTCCCAATTCCCTGTCCTCAAAAGCCTTTTCTAGTCTAAGGAGTAGCCTTGGAGGCCTCCAGATAATAGTCTCTGAAGTCCCTTTTGGAGAAAACAGAAAACTTTAACGAACAGGATAAGAGCATTAGATGCAGTGTGTCCCAGAAAATGCTGACGACCGTGTAGGTGCACACATAAGGCACACTGAAGCTGGGCCTGGACACTCACAGTCTGCTTTTCTGTGTCATGGTGGGAGTGGACAGGTGGAGCCCCGTGGAGGCTGTGATAGATGGTTTCCTGATGCAGACACTGACAAACTGGTTTCAATCATTCTTAACTAAATAAATCAGAGTACCCTGCTGAGCCAGCTAGAATGTAGACTTCCTGTTTCTGAGTTGACTCCCTCTGGGCTCTATACTAATGAGTCAACAGGCAGGGGCTTTTTGTTTTTTTGTTTGTTTGTTTTAATTTTTTTAAATTTATTTATGATAGTCACACACGGAGAGAGAGAGAGGCAGAGACATAGGCAGAGGGAGAAGCAGGCTCCATGCACCGGGAGCCCGACGTGGGATTCGATCCCGGGTCTCCAGGATCGCACCCTGGGCCAAAGGCAGGCGCCAAACCGCTGCGCCACCCAGGGATCCCGGGCTTTTTGTTTTTGAGGCTGAAAGGGAAGAGTGGTTTGTGTGGCAGTCATGGAGAGCTAGGCAGAGAATTCTGGGAGAGTGGAAAAGGCAACATGGTGACTGGGCACACTGCCCGGCCTGATTTAAGGTTCCTATGGAGACATTTGGGAGATGCAGGCAGAACTGCTTTAGGGTCCGGAAGTTAATGTGCCACATAGAGTAGGAGGGAGAGCCATCCCCTTTGCCCTGTCCACTACAGTCTACAGCATAGCCCAGAGATCCGACTGAGGGCATTGGGGCAGGCTTGAGGCACTCTGGCCAGTAAGCTAGAGTAGAAGGTGTTCTTGCACACCTGTGAGATACCCATCCACCTGGGGACTTCCTAAAATAGTTGTGGAGATTATGAGGGTGGGGCTGAGATCCTACAAGTGAAATTAATTCAATAAATATATTTATTGAGCTCTCCCTATGTGCTGGGTAACTGTTCTAGATGCATGATATACAAAGGTGAACAAAATAAAGATCTCTGACCTTGTGGAACCGGAACCTACATCCATAGGGGGGAACAGATAATACATAGTAAACTCAATAAAGATGGAAATAACATAGAAGGACCGAAGGTGATAAAATGCTAGAGCACTGCAGGGGGATAGGGAATGAATGGCAGAAAGACAGAGGCAGGAGAGCAAGTGGCCGTATTAGAGTAACAAGGGTAGGCCACATTGACAAAGTTGACATTGAAACAAAGACTTGAAGGAGGTGAGGAATGAGCCATGAAGGTATCTGGGGGAAGAGCTAGCGTAAAGGCCCTGAGACAGAGCAGCCCCGGTGGTGCAGCGAGCGGTTTAGCGCCGCCTGCAGCCCAGGGCATGATCCTGGAGATCCAGGATCAAGTCCCGCATTGGGTTCCCTGCAGGGAGCCTGCTTCTCCCTCTGCCTGTGTCTCTGCCTCTCTCTCTCTCTCTCTCTCTGTGTGTGTGTGTGTCTCTATGAATAAATAAGTAAATAAATAATTCTTAAAAAAAAAAAAAAGGCCCTGAGACAGAAGAGGGCCTGGTGAGTCCGAAGAAGAGTAAGAAGGCAAGTGTAGCTGCAGCAGCGTGTGAGAGGGTGAGGGTAGAGGTTATAAGGTATCAAGTGGCTAGATCCTATAGCCTGGAAGTCACTATGGGGTCTTGGACTTTTTACCTCATTTGCTGGCTCCTCATCTCTGTGATCTCTTAGAGCTATGATACTCAGTTTCGACCTAGACCTCCTCTTTGTCCTATCTGCACTTACACCTTGGAATCTCATCTAGTCTTTTTCTTTATTTTTAATTTTATTAATTTATTTGAGAGAGAGAGACCGTGCATGCGAGCAGGGAAAAGGGCAGAGGGAGAGAATCTCAAGCTGACTCTGCACTGAGTGTGGAGCCTGATGAGGGGTTCGACCTTACAACCCTGAGATCATGACCTGAGCCAAAACCAAGAGTTGGATGCTTAACCGACTGAGCCACCCAGCCACTCCTAGTCTTAAGGTTTAAATATCATCCATCCAGTGATAACTCTATTTGACCTCTCCACTGAACTCCAGACTCATATATTCAATTGCCCATTCAATATCTCCATTAAGATTCTAATAGGTGTCTCTGACTAAACATGTCCAACACTAGCCTCCAGATCTTTACCACTCCCCAACCTTTTCCACCCCCTTGGTCTTCTCCATCTCAGTGAGCAACTCTATCCAACCAATTATGGACTCATTCTCCTTCTCTCATGCTCCATATCCAATCCATAAGAAAATCCTAAGGTTTGAAATTTCAAAATACATCTAGAATTATCCCTACCATCTACATCTACCCCTAACCACTATAACTACTCAAGTCTAGACCACCATCTATATTTACTTGTACTATTGCACGAGGCTCCTAATGAATGTCCTTGCTTACATCCTTCCTCTCTGCAATCTATTTTCCATATAGCAACCAAGGTATTACTACTGAAACTAAAACCCAAGTCAGAACATGACTCTTCTCTACTTAAAACCTTCCACAGGCTTTCTGCATCCCTTGGAGTAAAAGACAAAGGCTTTACAATTGCCTAAGGGGCCTAGACATACTGCCTGCCCACTTCCTTAACCGAGAAATGAGGCTGTCAAAGAACAGGCACTCAGTATATAGTCATTGAAGAAATGAAATATGTTAAGCGTGCTGTGATTTAATCAATATTGTGCACCTGAGGTTCAAAACCAATGATACAGCAGAGCAAATGAAAACAAATAAAAAACAATTGAACTTCTCTGGTTCTTCTCTGAAATGAAGTTACCTGGATTCAATGTCAGACAAAGAGATGTCACTCCAATTTCCTTCTAAATCCATATCTTGTCCAAGTTCATCGAATTTCTTATGGATCTCCTGTTTTAAGAGCTCTTTAAGCTCTGCTAGACACTGCATGAACTGTGGGAGTGAAAAAAAGAATATTTTTGTTTATTCATTAATTTTTTTACCAAACATTTTACTCAGTATACGCTGAAAGGCACTTTATTTATTACTGGGGACATAAAAGATGAGCGGGCTGTCACCTCTGCTAGTAAGGACATGTTAACATATAAATTATATGCACTGTAGTAAATGTGTTTCTAGGGCAGAACATTAGTGAACACTGCTTTAGGCACTTTCCCCTGGCTATCAGCAATAGTAAATAATGCAGAGGTCTAATTTATTTTATTTTTTTGAATTGCAAGGAAGGAAACATTAGAATAGTGTTATTCAGATTTTGGCCTATGGCAGATGTGCTTTAACAGGCCATGCTGTGGTCAAATTCTACTTTAATATGTTTTATTGGGGCACTTGGGTGGCTTGGTCAGTTAAGTGTCTGCCTTCGGCTCAGGTCATGATCCCAGGGTCCTGGGATCAAGCCCTGCATCAGGCTCCCTGCTCTGCAAGGGGCCTGCTTTTCCCTCTCCCTCTGCCTGCTGCTCCTCCTTCTTGTGCTCTCTTTCTTTCTCTGTCAAATGAATGAATAAAATCTTTAATAAATAAATATGTTTCATTAAACAGGTGAAAAGTTGCACCCAGAGCAGTACATATCACATGTCCCCAGTGCCCCAACTGAGAGGGGATATAGGAGAAAAGTTAGATCAAGCCCATGAGCACAGACTCCCTTTTAAGAAGCTGAGTGATGAAGGGAAATAGAAATACCATCCTGACTCTCTGTTAGAGAAATGAGACAGATGGAAACCTGTGCATGAGTCAGGACAGGGGCAGCCTGAGAACATGTGCAGTTTAGGGGAAGAAGTAAGAAGACGAAAACACTGAGGACACAGAAAAAAGGAGGAAAGAATGAATGAGGCAAGACGTCGGGGGGAGGGGCATGGCTGGGGAGCTGGCAGGTGCACAAAAGCTGGCAAGGTCAGTTTTGGAGGTGAGAAAGGACTCCTGCTTTTCTGAAAGGCAAAGTGAGGGAGTATGTGCTGATGGATAGTTGGCATGAAGGCTTCTACCTTCTTGGTGAGTTATGAGGTCTTGGCATTTGCTGAGAGTATGCAGGCTTGGGGTTTTCTTACTTTGATTATAAAAACTTCAGAATGATATTAAGAGGAAAATAAAAACCATCTATAATCTCACTGGGCTGAGACCCAGTGCAACTGATCACAGTAGCATCACCATATTTCTTTTCTTCTTCTTCTTCTTTTTTTAACAGTAGGGGATCCCTGGGTGGCGCAGCGGTTTTGCGCCTGCCTTTGGTCCAGGGCGCGATCCTGGAGACTGGGATCGAATCCCACATCAGGCTCCTGGTGCATGGAGCCTGCTTCTCCCTCTGCCTGTGTCTCTGCCTCTCTCTCTCTCTCTCTGTGACTATCATAAATAAATTAATTAAAAAAAAAATAACAGTAGACTTGCAGGGTGTTTTTATATTATTTTATTTTATTTTATTTTATTTTATTTTATTTTATTTTATTTTATTTTATTTTATTTATTTATTTATTTATTTATTTATTTATTTATTTATTTATTTATTTATTTATTTATTTATTTATTTATTTGAAAGAAGGACAGAGATAGCAACAGAGAGCACAAGTGAAGAGGAGAGGGAGAAGCAGCTCTCCATTGAGCAGGGAGTCTGACATGGGGCTTGATCCCGGAACCCTAGGATCATGATCTGAGCCGAAGGAAGATGCTTAACTGACTCAGCTACCCAGGTGCCCCCATCACCACATTTCTTGAAAGCCCATTTTTACCTTGGTTCGGTCAGGATCACAGAAATCCAGAAGAGTGTCACAAACATGATAACCTAGAGACTTTAGATCCTCAATGGTAAAGTGAGTATCTCTTTTATTACCTGAAAAAAAAAATCCATAAACATTTCTTATTAAATCTTAATGAGTTCATCTGTGGTAGACACTGTGCCAAGGGCTTTATGTGCATTATCTCATTAGGTAGTACCTATAATGCAGGTATTATTACCTATTACTGACAGTTTAAAAAAATGAAGTTTGAAGAGTTAATTAAAAAAAAAAAAAAGAGTTAAGTAACTGCACCAGGATCACACAACTTGTAAATGGAGCTGAAATTCAAACCCGGATCTCCCTGATTCTAGGTCCCCAGCAACCACTTTGCTCTACTGCCCCATCAAGAATTACATTTCACACTCATATTTACACTGGTCAAATTCAGCATAAGGAGCAGTTAAGAAAATCCTGTAGGTCAATCATCTCTCCAGCACTCAAAGGGATTTCATGCCCTCTGTACTTTGCTTGGCTTCCCCTTGTCATGCTGACCTACGATATACAAGAGAACTGGGATCCCTGGGTGGCGCAGCAGTTTAGCACCTGCCTTTGGCCCAGGGCGCGATCCTGGAGACCCTGGATCGAATCCCACGTCAGGCTCCCGGTGCATGGAGCCTGCTTCTCCCTCTGCCTGTGTCTCTGCCTCTCTCTCTCTCTCTGTGACTATCATAAATAAATAAAAATTTAAAAAAAAAAAGAGAACTTACCCAGGGTGGACCCCCCAAAGGTAGATTCCATGGTGTAGCTATTCAGGATCCCCATGCGCCACATCACAACTCGGCCTGTTCCTTCCTTGCACTTTTGCACCTTAAAGTTACAACTCTGAAAAGAGAACTAAAGAGAAACCAAAAGTCTCTGTTAAACCTAAACTGGCAAATGTAAGATGTCTAAGATTCATTTATATGATACAAGAATGGTTTCCTGGACGTCTATATATTATTTCCTAAAGTATGCTCCTTAAAATAGTAATTCTACAGGATGTTAACAGGTTTTACAGAAGAGAAAATGAGTTCTGTGGTCATGTTAGTCAGGAGGATGTAGGGTGAACAAAATTACACAGACTTCTTGTGCAGGACTTCTCAGAGCATTTAGTATGTTATTGTAGACTGTGAGTCTCCAAGGGAGAGAGTACAAATTCTACTTCTTACTCCCTGGGTCCCCTTTTTCCCTTCCCCATCTTTCCCAGGGACATTTTCAAGGACTAGGGTTCCTTGAACTCCTATTTGGGAATGCTGGCTTACTTTGGCATTCAAGACACTGGCCAACTTTTCTAAGATTTATTTTCTTTTTTTTTTTAATTTTTATTTATTTATGATAGTCAGAGAGAGAGAGAGAGAGAGAGAGAGAGAGGCAGACACACAGGCAGAGGGAGAAGCAGGCTCCATGCACCGGGAGCCCGACGTGGGATTCGATCCCGGGTCTCCAGGATCGCGCCCTGAGCTAAAGGCAGGCGCCAAACCGCTGCGCCACCCAGGGATCCCTAAGATTTAGTTTCTATTCTTCCCCAACTTGAGTCTTTGGATCCAGCTGGGTTTATCCTCTATTTATGGTTGACGTATGCCTCACCCCTGTAATCTCTGCCCGGAACTCTCACTCCCTCTGACTTACTGTTCTCAGCTCGGAGTTCAATATGCTCCATTGTCTTTCATGACCACCCAACCCTCTTTCCTTATTGAGGTTTGTAACATATACTTGGCACTCATCCCAACCTATCTTATCCTGCTGAAAATGCTTTACAGTTGGAAGGTATGTTTCCACCTAGTGGTTTTTAATTTCTGCACCCTGGAATCCAGGGGTTCTACTGAGGAGCCTCGGGCATTCCTGACACAAGGACTGACGAGGCCAACTAGGCAAGATTCCAAGCCCTCTATCTGTCTTCAATGAGTACAGCTCTGCTTTTAATTGTTTTAGATACTGGGTTCTGAACATCATTTTAAAAAATTTTTATGTATTTTTTTTTTACAAGACACATTATTCGGGTGTCATTTTATTTAAAGAAAGAGATCCCTGGGTGGCTCAGCGGTTTAGTGCCTGCTTTTGGCCCAGGGCATGATCCTGGAGTCCTGGGATCGAGTCCCACATCAGGCTCCCTGCATGGAGCCTCCTTCTCCCTCTGCCTGTGTCTCTGCCCCCCTCTCTCTCTCTGTCTCATGAATAAATAAAATCAAGAAAGAAGAAAGAAAAGAAAGAAAGAAGAAAGAAAGAAAGAAAGAAAGAAAGAAAGAAAGAAAGAAAGAAAGAAAGAAAGATCGATCCCTGGGGCACCCGGAGGCTCAGTCGGTTAAGCATCTGACTTTTGATTTGAGCTCAGGTCATGATCTCAGGATTGTGAGATCGATCCCTATATCAGGCTCAGCATGGATCCTGCTTAAGATTCTCTCTCCCAGGGGCAGCCCCAGTGGCCCAGCGGTTTGGCGCCGCCTTCGGCCCTGGGCGTGATCCTGGGGACCCAGGATTGAGTCCCACATCGGGCTCCCTGCATGGAGCCTGCTTCTCTCTCTGCCTGTGTCTCTGCCTCTCTCTCTCTCTCTCCCCCCACCCCGTGTCTCTCATGAATAAATAAATAAAATCTTAAAAAAAAAAAAAGATTCTCTCTCCGTCTGCCTCCCCCTCTTTATTGAGATACAATTCACATACCATAAAATTCATTCTTTTCACAATTCACAGAGTTGAGCAGCCATCACCACGATCTAAGTTTAGGACATTTTCATTATCTCCCAAAAGAAACACAGCATCTCTCAGCAGTGATGCCACCCTCCCCCTCCGCACCAAAGGCAACCACTAAAGGACTCTCTGTCTCTACAGATTTGCATCTTCTGAACATTTCATAGAATCACAAAAATATGGCCTTTTGGGTCTGGCTTCTTTTGTGCAACAAGTTTTCAAGGTTCACCTTGAAATGAGATGCAAAGTGGCATATAGGATGCAGTGAATTTTTCCTTAGGCAGTGGATGGATAATTACCTTATGCGCTTACCTTATCTGGTGCGTTTTTGCTTAACATTAAAGGAAAGACGCGCTCATGAAGCCAGTACTTGCGATCGTTGTTTTTACAGCCATACAAGAAGATATTATTCTTACGGCTGTGGCCATGGAAATCACAGTACAAGAGAACCTCCCTTTCTTCCAGAAGTCTATTGAGAGGGGTAAACAAAGGACTCAGTGGACATCCACAAGCATGAAATAATCAAGGACCTTTTTTTTTTTTTTTTAAATTTTTATTTATTTATGATAGTCACACAGAGAGAGAGAGAGAGGCAGAGACACAGGCAGAGGGAGAAGCAGGCTCCATGCACCGGGAGCCCGACATGGGAATCGATCCCGGGTCTCCAGGATCGCGCCCTGGGCCAAAGGCAGGCACCAAACCGCTGCGCCACCCAGGGATCCCTAATCAAGGACCTTTTATAGTTTCTACCTTAATAAATATGTGGTTGCTACCTTCCCTCTAAAAAAAATGTCAGGGATCCCTGGGTGGCGCAGCGGTTTGGCGCCTGCCTTTGGCCCAGGGCACGATCCTGGAGACCTGGGATCGAATCCCATGCCGGGCTCCCGGTGCATGGAGCCTGCTTCTCCCTCTGCCTGTGTCTCTGCCTCTCTCTCTGTGTGTGTGTGACTACCATCAATAAATAAATAAAATCTTAAAAAATAAAATAAATAAAATAAATGTCAACCCCTTCAAAGGACCCTATCTCCACTCTCAGCCACTGCATACCCCCACCCTCAAGCAACATGCTACCAGCACTCCTCGCCACTGCCAGCCAGAGGTACTTGAAATGAAAACGTCCTGACGTGGAAGGGGGTGGTGGGTAGGCCTTGTGTAAGCTGACAAGGAAGTGGAAGAAATCTATTGAAAGAAAGCCCACCCTGGGGCAGACCTGGGGAAAGAGGGACAGAAGTAGAAAGGCTGTTAAGTGTCAGAATGAAAAAGAGAAACAGAGAAAGCCTGGGTTCCTGAATTTCTGGGGCCAGTTCCTGTAAGGCTCAGTTCCTTGGTCTCCTCCTCACCCAGGGCACCTACTCAGTCTTCCAAACATGGTCACCTTCTCCATAATGATGATGATAGCATGAAGAGGATGACAGTAACGACACATAAAACGTTCAGGGCACTGTGCCGAGCAGGTGACACAGATCCTCTCCTTTAATCCTCACAGCTAAACACCTGGGCAGATGAGCCTAGCCCTACTCCACAGATGGGAAGGCTGAAGCGCAGAGAAGTACAATCACTTCCAAGGTCATAGAACCAGCCAGTAGTGACACCAGGTCTCAAAGCCAGGCCTGTCCGACTCCCAAGTACGTGCTCTTAGCCATTTAGCCTGAAAGCCCAACACAACTCCCACCCTTTCACACAGATCTGGTTATTGGGGGTGTGCACCCACAGATTCTTCTATGCTGTGGTTCCATTCCCTGTAAGATGGGTGCCATTACACCATAGCCTTCAACTGCTTTCACACAGGCTTGGAAAATATGAACTGATTTATTTACTACTCTTTCTCTATGAGAGGCACTACAAGAGGCAATAAAGAACTCAGACTCTTGGGATCCCTGGGTGGCGCAGCGGTTTAGTGCCTGCCTTTGGCCCGGGGCACGATCCTGGAGACCCGGGATCGAATCCCACGTCGGGCTCCCTGCATGGAGCCTGCTTCTCCCTCTGCCTGTGTCTCTGCCTCTCTCTCTCTCTCTGTGACTATCATGAATAAATAAATAAAATCTTTTAAAAAAAAAAAGAACTCAGACTCTGGAACCTGAGAGCCTGTGTTCAAATATCTACTCTGCCACTATTTGGCTCTATGACCTGGGCAAGTTGCTTGACCTTCTGGGGCCTTAATTTCCTCACCACTCACATACTGGGGATACTGACTGTGCCTATGTCAGAGGTTTAACGTGAAGACTCAACCTCTACATGGGTCCCATGTGTAAAGCACTGAGAATATTGCCTGCCCCCTCTATACAAACACTGCCTAATTGTTAGGTACTATTATTATTACTATACATGCTTCATGATGAAGGCCTATGAACTTCTCTGACTTAAATGCCTCTGGCTGAAATGTTGCATGTTCAGCCTTAACCCAAAGATGAAACAGGACTTAAAAATTTGAAACTGAACACACCCATATAACTGCAAACAGAATGGTAAAGATGGTCTCCCAAGCCCTGCCCGGAGTCCTACATGAGAAGAGCCCTCCCACCCGGCGTTCAAAGATCAACAGACAAAGGGGCTCACCTTTTGACCATGTTCCTGGTGTACCAGATGCAAGGGAAAGACTCCTTCAGAATGGTTTTGTAATGCCTGTTCAGGTCCCTTCCGGCCAGCGAACACCGGTAATTCCCCACAATCACTCCATCTGGATTTAACATAGGAACTACTTTGAAGACAAAGATATCCCTGAGGAGCTGGGCATCTGGGGAGTTGCTAAGGATGAAGTCCAAAAAGCCTTTCATGATCCAAGAGCCATTACTTTCTCCAGGGTGGACTCTGGCGCTCAAGACCACAGCTTTCTTTGCAGCTGCCTCTCGAGGGGTCCGGGATGGGTTGGTGATGGTGAGCAGGTAGACGGTGTTCCCAGCGAGGCTCCTGCATAACGTTCGAAGCTTGCAGAACTGAGATTGCACCGGGTTGTTCGCCACTGACAGCAGGTAGCATTGCAAGTCAGTGTACGTATAGGGGTAGAAGTGTGCGAAGAAGCAAGTGTCCTGGTCGTGTGGAAACTGAATGGTCCACGTGAGACAGTAAAAGGGCTGCTGTCCATCATCTGTGTTGTTCTTATAGTACCTGATTTCATTTCCTTCTCGCCTCCAGCCAACGTTGTGGGTGTTGGCATCCAGCTGGGAGTACATGAGTGGCTTCATCCCTACAGTATAAAGGCTCTTGGGTTTTAGCAAGTTGACAATGGTGAAGCGGTAGGTAGTATCTTTTCTAGTGTTCTGAACACGAAAATAAAACCACTGAGTGTGTTTGTTTGTGTAGAGGTCAGTTCGCAAGGTGAGTTCATACTCATAGGTATCTCTGCAATGGAGAAAACAGAAGAGTATCTCTGTAACCCCACATCCCTCTCTCAAAAAACAAATCCAAAAAGTGCATTGTTTCCCCCTGGCAAAAATAGATCTTATTACAACCGGAAAGCCTACTACATCAACTATTAATTTTCTAATTTAGGGGATCCCTGGGTGGCGCAGCGGTTTGGCGCCTGCCTTTGGCCCAGGGCGCGATCCTGGAGACCCGGGATCGAATCCCACGTCGGGCTCCCGGTGCATGGAGCCTGCTTCTCCCTCTGCCTGTGTCTCTGCCTCTCTCTCTCTCCCTGTGTGACTATCATAAATAAATAAAAATTAAAAAAAAAATTTCTAATTTACATAGTACCCCAACTTACACTATTAGGCTGGTAGAAATGTGGGTAAATATGTTGGCAAATTGAACACCAATAAAAAATAAATTTATAATTAAAAAAAAAGAAATTTGGGTAAAGAAAGTTTACTTGGGGTGTTTGGAAGCTCTATGAGCTTCTTAGTATCTTTCTGGAGTGTTCAGTAGCACTTCAGTACATTTCCCTGAACAGCAGCAAAGCCAGAGCCCTCTGTTGGCTATTGGCTACATCCTGGAGGTAACCACTGTGGAGAAGACCCCTCCACCTCTGGTGTTATTGTACCTTTGATCATTGAGGGGGCACTTCTGGAATGCATTCACCTTATTGAAAAGTAGAAGGATGAGTGTGCAGAAGAGGAAATACAGATGCCAAATCCTGAAAAGATGCTCACCCACAAGCTTAAGTCAAGAATTGCAAATTACAGAGGTGCCTGGGTTGCTCAGTTGGGTATAAGTGGCTACCTTCAGCTCAGATCCCAGGGGCCTAGGAGTGAATCCTGCATCCGGGTCCCTGCTAAGTGGGGAGCCTGCTCCTCCCTCCTGCTTGTGCATGCCTGCTCTCTCTTTTTCTCTCTCTCAGATACATAAATAAGGTCTTTAGGGGATCCCTGGGTGGCGCAGCGGTTTGGCGCCTGCCTTTGGCCCAGGGCGCGATCCTGGAGACCTGGGATCGAATCCCACATCGGGCTCCCGGTGCATGGAGCCTGCTTCTCCCTCTGCCTGTGTCTCTGCCCCTCTCTTTCTCTGTGACTATCATAAATAAATAAATAAAAATTAAAAAAAATAAGGTCTTTAAAGAAATAAAGAAATGCAAATTACAGTAGGCTGTTATTTTCCCTCCAACTCATGAATATTCCAGCTTGGGGCACAGTCACTCTCACACACTAGTGACAGGAACTGGAATCATGTTCAAGGGCAGTTTAGGAAAAAATAGTGATACTTAAAGTATTCAAACCCTTTGACCTACCAAATTTATTTCTAAAATTTATCCTGTAAAACCACAAATATTTAAAAATATAAATGCGGGCAGCCTGGGTGGCTCAGCAGTTTAGCACTGCCTTCAGCCCAGGGCCTGATGCTGGAGACCCAGGATCGAGTCCCGCGTCAGGCTCCCTGCATGGAGCCTGCTTCTCCCTCTGCCTGGGTCTCTGCCTCTCTCTGTCTCTCTGTGTGTCTCTCATGAATAAATAAATAAAAATCTTAATAAATAAATGATAAAAATATAAATGCCTAAGAATGTTAATTCTATTAATTTAAACAAAAAATAGTAAACACCTTAATTTTCTATCAGTGAAGGCAAGGTAAATAAGATATGGAATACCCATAAAATAGAATAATATGAATTGTTAAAAATAAGGACATAAACCTGTGGTACTACTATAGGAAAACATCTAAAATTTATTAATTGGTGGGCGCTTGGGTGGCCCAGTCGGTTGAACATCTGCCTTCAGCTCAGGTCGTGATCCCAGGGTCCTGGGATCCAGTCCTGCATTGGGCTCCTTGCTCAGTGAGGAGTCTGCTTCTTCCTCTCCCTCTACCCCCTGCCCCGCCCCTCTGCCTGTGCTCTCTCTCTCTCTCTCAAATAAATAAAAATCCTTAAAAGTAAAATTTATCAATTGGCAAAAAAGCAATTTTTTTAAAGATTTTATTTATTTATTCATGAGAAACACAGAGAGGAGAGAGAGAGAGGCAGAGACACAGGCAGAGGGAGAAGCAGGCTCCATGCAGGGAGCCAGACATGGGACTCGATCCCGGGTCTCCAGGATTACGCCCTGGGCTGAAGGCGGCGCTAAACTGCTGAGCCACTTGAGCTATCCCAGCAAAAAGCAATTTGTAAAACAGTATGCATACCATTATCTTATTTTAAAAAATGAATAACTTCTGTTTGTTACATACACAGAAAAAGGGGGAAAATTACTGCATATATACTGAACTATTAACAGTTGCTGAATCTGGGGAGGTATGATTATAAGACTTCATAGTTTTAATGTTATGCATTTTTGTTAATACAAAAAACTTTTTAAGGATTTCATTTATTTCAGTAATTGCTACCTACAAGTGGGGCTTGAACTCATGGCTCTGAGATCAAGAGTTGGGCGCTCTACTGACTGAGTCAGCCAGGTACACTTATTAATACAAATTGTAAATGAGCACTAATTTCTTTCACAAGCAGAAAAAACAATGTAGATAAATCTGTGCTCTGGGGGAGAATGAGTCACAATTATTCCATTCTTGATCCCCATGACCTTTTCTCACCACCTCTCTTTTTCTTGAAAACACTCCTGACTCCTAATATGACTCCTAGAGAATGTGTCAGTCACTCCAGGTATTGCCCCTTTGGGAAATTCCTGTTACTCACACTCTGACAGCTTTTTGCAGATTCCCGCTCTCAAACCGTGACTCAAACAGGAGAGTATTATCCTCGGGTCCCTGCAGCGTGACAGCCGGCTCCCTGATAATCCCTCGTTTGCCTCCCACTCTGGAACTGGTGAAATAGGAACCCTCGGTGGGCACTGTGGATGAGACACACTATATTTAGGGTAGGTTCCACTTAGACTCCATTCATCCAACCAGTATTTACTGAGTTCCATTGTGTATTCAATGCCATTCGAGGTCAAGAATAATGAATATTCAGATTTTCAACCATCCTTGCTGAGATTTTTCATTTGAAACATCAGATTTCTTTGAGGACCTTTACGGTGGTGTAGAGACTGTGTGGCTGCCTTTTGCTGTGTGGCTGTGCCCCTGGCATCAGATACTGTTTGTACCCAATTAAGCCCTAATTTAAAAGCAGGTTGACAGATGATATTCCACATACAGCATCTGAAAAAGTTTACAATTTTAATTCTAAAAAAAAAAAAAAAAAGGCACCTATTTATTAATTTAAAAAAAGGTAAAGGAGAAAAAAAAAGAAAATAAAGTATACTCTATGTAATTTTTTTTGGAATATCCTTCCAGATTTAAATATAAAAAAAAAATTAGAAGTTCAAAAAGAATTGGCATGGCTAAATTAAGAAGGGAACAAAAATATCGTAGTAATTAGAGAAAAGAAAAGGTTAGGATTAAAATTTTATCTTTAATGCTAAGAAAAAATAAAATAAAATAAATAAATAAATAAATAAAATATAAAATAAAATAAATAAAATAAAATAATGCTAAGGGCAGCCCAGTGGCTCAGTGGTTTAGCACCTGCCTTCAGCCCAGTGTGTGATCCTGGAGTCCCAGGATCGAGTCCCGCGTCAGGATCCCTGCATGGAGCCTGCTTCTCCTCTGCCTGTGTCTTTGCCTCTCTCTCTCTCTCTCTCTCTCTGTGTTTCTCATGAATAAATAAATAAAATCTTTAAAAAAATAAAATAAACTGATACTAAAAAATAATTATAAAATTTATTTTAACAAAATTTAGATAACAATCACTCTATCTCTTTGGTGGGTTGTGACTTTAAAAAAATATTTTAGGGGTATCTGAGTAGCTCAGTGGTTAAGCATCTGCCTTCAGCTCAGGTCATGATCCCAGGGTCCTGGATCAAGCCTGCATCAGGCTCCTGGCTCATGTGTAATCTACTTCTCCCTCTCCCTCTGCTGTTCCCACTGCTTGTACTTTATCTCTCTCTGTCAAACAAACAAACAAATTAATTAATTAAACCTAAAAAAAATATTTTGGTTTAAATAAATATCTTGGGGTGCCTGGGTGGCTCAGTCAGTTGAGTGTCTGCCTTTGGCTCAGGTCATGATCCTAGGGTTCTAGGATCCAGCTCTGCATCAGGCTCCCTGTTCAGCAGGGAGTAGGCTTCTCCCTCTCCCTCTGTCTCTTCTCCCCTGTTCATGCTCTCTCTCTCTCAAATGAATAAATGAAATCTTTAAAAATTTTTGTTTATTTATTTATTTGGGGGGTGGGAAGAGGAAGAATGTGTGGGTGAGACAGACAGAATCTTTATAAGCAGACTCCCTGCTGAGCACAGAGCTCCACTCGGGGCTCAATCCCATGACCCTAAAATCACGACCTGAGCAAAAACCAAGAGTTGGATACTCAACTGACTGAGTCACTCAGGTGCCCCTGCAATTTTTAAAAAGATTTTAGGTAATCTCTACACCTAAACTTACAACTCTAAGATTAAGAGTCATTTACTCCACTGAAAAGTCAGCCAGCTGCCCCTGGGGTAGCAATTTTTCAGACAAATTCAGTGAGACTGATTTTATTTTTTGTTTAAAGACTTCATGTGACACAGAGAGAGAGAGAACATGAGAGCACAAGTAGGGGGAGCTGCAGGAAGAGGGAGAGGCAGAAGCAGGCCCCTCACTGAGCAGGGAGTCCATCTCAGGGCTTGATCCCAGGACTCTGGGATCATGACCTAATCTAAAGGAAGGTGCCCAACCAACTGAGCCACTCAGGTGCCCTCAGGTGCCCCCATCCTGACATTATTAATTCAAAACTACTTCTTCCTTGGGAAGGTTCCTATTATTTCCTGGCTCATTACTCTTGAACATTATATTTCCTTTCCGTCTTTCTTCTTTTTTTTTTAAGATTTTATTTATTCATGAGAATACACAGGGAAGAGAGAGAGAGAGAGAGAGAGAGAGAGAGAGAGAGGCAGAGACACAGGCAGAGGGAGAAGCAGGCTCCATGCAGGGAGCCCGACATGGGACTCGATCCTGGGACTCCAGGATCATGCCCTGGGCTGAAGGCAGGTGCTAAATCGCTGAGCCACCTGGGCTGCCCTCTTTTTTTTTTTTTTTTTTTTTTTTAAGTAAACTCTATTCTCCAACTTCCATGGGGACCTTGAACTCATGACCCCAAGATCAAGAACCACATGCTCTAGCATGCTCTGACTGAACCAGCCAGGCGCCCTTATCCCCTTTCTGCCTTAAATATTACTATGACCACTGGCTCTACATCTTACCCATCATCGCTTGTTATTGTCTATTTTTATTGTAGCTATCTTACTGTGATTTGATATTTCTGTCCCCTCAGTTCTGATTTTGATAATTTGTGTCTCTTCTTCTTTTTTCATGGTTGATCTAGCTAAAGTTTTGTCAATTTTGTTGATGTTTCCAAACAACCAACTTTTGGTTTGATTTTCAGATTATTTTCCTGTTTTCTATTTCTTTTTTTTTTTTTAAGATTTTATTTATTTATTCATAAGACAGAGAGAGAGAGAGGCAGAGACACAGGCAGAGGGAGAAGCAGGCTCCATGCAGGGAGCCCGATGTGGGACTCGATCCCGGGACTCCAGGATCATGCCCTCGGCTGAAGGCAGGTGCTAAACTGCTGAGCCACCCAGGCATCCCCCGTTTTTTGTTTCATTGATTTCCATTCTTATCTTTATTATGCCCTTCTATCTGGTTTCTTTGGACTTAGTTTGTGCTTATTTTTCTAATTCGTTAATATGAAACCTTAGGTAATTGATTCGAGATCTTTCTTCCTTTCAAATACAGGCATTTAAAGCCATATATTTACCCTGCAATGCTTTACCTGCATCTCATAAAGTTTGATATGCTGTTTTATCTTTACTCAGTTGAAAACATTTAACTCTTCTTTTTTTTATTTTTTTTATTTTATTTATTTATGATAGTCACAGAGAAAGAAAGAGAGGCAGAGACATAGGCAGAGGGAGAAGCAGGCTCCATGCACCGGGAGCCCGATGTGGGATTCGATCCCGGGTCTCCAGGATTGCGCCCTGGGCCAAAGGCAGGCGCCAAACCGCTGCGCCACCCAGGGATCCCCTAACTCTTCTTATGTTTTTTTTAACTTATGGGTTACTTAGAAATGTCCTATTCAATTTCCACATATTTGTATATTTCCCAGATTTCATTCTGTTGTTGATTTTTAAAAATTCTTAATACTAAATAGGCTCCATGACTTGGGCTTAAAGCCACAACCTTGAGATCAAGACCTGAACTGATGCCAAGAGTCAGATGCTCAACTGACTGAGCCACCTAGGCTCTGATTTCTTTGTTTTTTGTTTTTGTTTTTGTTTTTTTTAGGCTCTAATTTCTAATTCAATTTTGTTGTGGTAAGAAAATATATTTTGTATGATTTCAAGACTTTCTTAACAACCGACATATAGTGTATACTGGGGGAATGTACCATGTGCTTTTGAAACAAATACGTATTTTGCTATTTTTGTTGGGTACAGTGTTCTGCACATTTTTTTAAAAGACGTGGATTCTGGGATGACTGGTGGCTTAATGATTGAGCATCTGCCTTTGACTCATGGGATCTAGGATCGAGTCCCACATCGGGCTCCCTGCAGGAAGCCTGCTTCTCCCTCTGCCTATGTCTTTGCCTCTCTCTCTGTGTCTCTCATGAATAAATAAATAAATCTTTAAAAAAAAAAGACACGGATTTTACTGTAGGAAGTCTGCAAATTAATGGAATTTACTTAAACCACATAGTAAATGATAGTCATATGCATATACTACAAAGTACTCATTAATGAATAGAAAGATGGAGAAAAGAAGAGCAAGTCCCCCGAAAACCAATAATCTGATTTTTAAGAAGGGGAATGACACGGAAGCTCTTTTTTTTTAAAATATTTTATTTAGTTATTCATAGAGACAGAGAGAGAGAGAAAGGCAGAGACACAGGCAGAGGAAGAAGCAGGCTCCATGCAGAGAGCCCAACATGGGACTCGATCCAGGGTCTCCAGGATCATGCCCTGGGCTGCAGGCGGCGCTAAACCGCTGCACCACCGGGGTTGCCCCACAGAAGAAGCTCTAAAATGGGCTTAGAATTATTAGAAAAAGGTACTGTCATTTTATTTTTTATTTTATTTTATTTTTTTAAAAGATTTTATTTATTTATTCATTAGAGACACAGAGAGAGAGAGAGAGAGAGAGACAGAGACACAGGCAGAGGGAGAAGCAGGCTCCATGCAGGGAACCCGACACGGAACTCGATCCCAGGTCTCCAGGATCACACCGTGAGCTGCAGGCGGCGCTAAACCTCTGCGCCACTGGGGCTGCCTGGTACTGTCATTTTAAAATACAAATGAAATTTTAAAGCTGATTGGCCATGACTTTCAGGGCTCCCTGTTCAGGTTGGTCTGGAAAGACTATTTATTTATCACTAAACTACAGATTTTTATTTTATTTATTTTATTTTTTATTTTTTTAAAACTATAGATTTTTAAAGACCATTGTTATTATACAAAATATATTCATTATAACTCTGTCATGATTAATCATCAACTTAATAACAATACCTGAATCTAATTGATAGACAACTGTGCCTTTTTCTTCTCCCACAATTTCTGGCAACTTTTCATTTCCTGTAGGTTGATAGAAATATTCTGGTTGAGGTGGAACCCACTCTGAAAGAAAACATTAAAAAAAAAAAACCCACAAAATAAATAAAGTTTTATCTAAAAGTAATATATGATTATCATAATTATTATCCAAGTGATTAGTTTAGTTGAATCAAACCAAATTTTCACCCTATGTTTCTAATTTGTTTGTAAATTAACTGTCTTGCTTCTTTCCATAAAGACTATGAAGAGATCTTTTTTTTTTAATTTATTTATTTATGATAGTCATCAGAGAGAGAGACAGAGAGAGAGGCAGAGACACAGGCCAGGGAGAAGCAGGCTCCATGCACTGGGAGCCCGATGTGGGATTCAATCCCGGGTCTTCAGGATCGCGCCCTGAGCCAAAGGCAGGCGCCAAACCGCTGCGCCACCCAGGGATCCCTATGAAGAGATTTTTAACAAAAAGCATATACAACAGAAGTATAAACTTTATTTTTTTTTTAAGATTTTATTTATTTATTCATGACAGACACACAGAGAGAGGAAGAGACAGGCAGAGGGAGAAGCAGGCTCCATGCAGGGAGCCCAACGCGGGACTCGATCCTGGGACTCGAGGATCATGTCCTGGGCCAAAGGCAGGCACTAAACCACTGAGCCACCCAGGAATCCCCTTAGATTGTATTTTTAAGTAATCTCTACACCCAACATGGGCCTTGTACTCACAACCCCAAGATCAAAAGTCACATACTTCACAGACTGAGCCAGCCAGGTGTGCCAAGCTTCTTTTTAAAGTCAGGAATATATAGAACGCCTGGGTGGCTCAGCAGTTGAGTGTCTGCCTTTGGCTCAGGCCCTGATGGAGCCCTGCATTGAGCTCCCTGCCATGGGGAGGCTGCTTTTCCCTCTCCCTCTGTCTGCCACTCCCCCTGCTTATGCTCTCTCTCTCTCTCTCTCTAATAGATAAAATAAAATAAACTCAAAATGGATCAAAGGGGGCGCCTGGGTAGCTTAGTTGGTTAAGTGGCTGCCTTCAGCTCAGGTCATGTTCCCAGAGTCCTGGGATCAAGCCCCACATCAGGCTCCCTGATCGAAGGGCAGCCCGCTTCTCCCTCTGTACCGCTTGTGCACTTGTGCATGTGCTCTCTCTCAAATAAATAAATAAAATCTTAAAAAAATATATTAAAGATTTGAATGTAGATCTGAAATCATAAAACTCATAGAGGAAACCACAGGCAGCATTAAGCTCCTTGATATTGGTCTTGGCAATGATTTTTTTTTTTAATCTGACACCAAAAGCACAAGACACAAGAGCAAAAATAAACAAGTGGGGCTACATCAAACTAAAAAGCTTCTTTGCAGCAAAGAAAACCATAAAAAAAATGAAAAGGCAACCATTAACTGGGAAAAAATATGTGCAAGTCAAGTATCTGATAAGGGGTTAGTATTCAAAATATATAAAGAATTCACTGGGCAGCCTGGATGGCTCAGCGGTTTAGCGCCGCCTTCAGCCCAGAGCGTGATCCCGGAGACCCGGGATTGAGTCCCATGTCAGGTTCCCTGCATGGAGCCTGTTTCTCCCTCTGCTTGTGTCTCTGCCTTTCTCTCTCCTCTCTGTATATTCTCATGAATAAATAAATAAAATCTTAAAAAAAAAGAATTCATACAATTTCATAGCAAACAAAATATCTATTCAGAAGATCTAAATTTAAAAAAAAGCCATATGGATGGCCAACAGGTACATGAAAAGATGCTCTACATCATTAATCATCAAGGAAATGCAAATCAAAACTACAATAAGAATCACCTCATACCAGTTAGAAAGGCTTATAATCAAAAAGACTAGGAGTTGCTGGAGGGGAAGTGGGGGGGGATGGGTAACTGGGTGATGAGCATTAAGGAGGGCATATGATGTAATGAACACTGGGTGTTATATGCAAGTGATGAATCACTAAAGTCTACTATATGTTAATTAATTGGATTTAAATAAAATAAAATTTAAAAAAGAAACTAAACAAACAAAGAAATCTATTAAAAAATTATACTCCTCCCCAAAGACTAGAAATAATAATTTTAGCTGAGGATGTGGAGAAAAGGGAACCCTTTGTGTTGGTGGAAATGTAAATTAGTGCAGCCACTATGAAAAATAGTATGGAGGTTCCTCCAAAGATTAAAAATTGAACTACCAGGCACGCTTGGGTGGCTCAGTGGTTGAGCATCTGCCTTTGGCTCAGGGCATGATCCTGGGGTCCTGGGATCGAGTGTCCCACATCAGGCTCCCCACACAGAGCCTGCTTCTCCCTCTGTCTATGTCTCTGCCTCTCTCTGTGTCTCTCATGAATAAATCAATAAAATCTTTTAAAAAAATAAAGATTTGTTTATTTATTATTTTAGAGGGGTAGGGGGAGAGGGAGGGATAATCTCAAACAGACTCCTCTTTGAGCACAGAGCCTGATGTGGGGATCAACCTCTCAACCTTGAGATCATGACCTGAGCCACGATCAAGAGTCATATACTCAGCCAACTGAGCCACTTAGACACCCATTTTTTCAGTTTAAATAAACTTGAATTAAAAAAAAAAAAAAAAACTAGCTCAAGGTAATATGGCTCAAGTAAGTGGTAGATCTGGGCCCAGAACCTTATTGGAATTACTCCAAAATCTGTGCTTAAAATTGCTGTTCTTTACTGCTTCTAATATTATCTTTTGATTGACTGAACTTAAAAAAAATAAAGAAAAAACAATAATGACACAACTCAGTAAAAAACAATGCTAATTTCTTATTTTTAAGGTGATAGGGAGTGATGAGGCTGTCAATTTGGTTTAAACCATAAGGTGTTTGTTATTAAATTTCCTTGAAATTAAAATAAAATAAAATAAAATAAAATAAAACAAATTTCCTTGAAATTAAAAAAAAAATGCTTTTTATTTTTTTTTATTTTTTTTTTAATGCTTTTTAAAAGATCTAGTATGGGGATCCCTGGGTGGCTCAGCGGTTTGGCGCCTGCCTTTACCCCAGGGTGTGATCCGAGAGTCCTGGGATCAAGTCCTACATCAGGCTCCCTGCATGCAGCCTGCTTCTCTCTCTGCCTGTGTCTCTGCCTCTCTCTGTCTCTCATGAATAAATAAATAAAATCTTTATAAATAAATAGTTAGATAAATAGATAAATAAATATATAAATAAATAATAAAATAAATAAATAAATAAATAAATAAATAAATAAATAATCTAGTACTAGGGCACCTGACTGGCTCAGTCAGTAGAGAATGCAACTCTTGATCTTGGAGTGGTGAGTTCAAGCCCAATGTTGGGCCTAGAGCTTACTTTAAAAGGAGAGAGAGAGAGACAAAGAGATATATCGAGCTTTGGTCGATTATCACTGCAATAACGTGGTTATTAAATTCTAGTTTCCCATTTTTTTCATCTTTTGGAACTGAGTCCAAAAACCTCACAGGAATTTTGCCTATTTGATACAGCAAAATAATAGTAAAATTCTATTGTTCATCCAGATCAAACTGGAACTTTTATCTAAAAATTGAACAGGGCGTGATCCTGGAGACCCTGGACTGAGTCCCACGTCGGGCTCTCTGCATGGAGCCTGCTTCTCCCTCTGCCTGTGTCTCTGCCTCTCTCTCTCTCTGTGTCTTTATGAATAAATAAATAAAATATTTTTTAAAAAAAGATTCTCTCTTTAAAAAAAAAAATAAAGATTGAACAGGGCAGGAACAGATGATCTTAGGACTTCTAAGCTATTGTGCTAATGCAAAATGCCACCTCTTCCCCACATTTCCAAACACCTTAAGAACAGTTCTGTGCCCAGTTACACTGAGCACATCCCTGTATTTTTAGCTTTAACTCTTGTCTTTCAGGCTCAGTGCTCCATGGTTGTCCAGATATGCCATGCTCTTTTTCTATGTCCTCTAACTAAAATCCTTTTTTTTGACCCTCTCAGTTGGATCACTTGTAACTTATCATCAGCTCTCAGCTTACCATGTCAACTCCTCTGGGAAACCCTCCCTATTTTTCCAGGCTCAGGTTAAGTGTTCCCAGAGGGACTAAACTCTATGCAATTGCCTGGTTATATCTTCAACAATGCTACCAGTAGGCAAAATTTGGGTGTCTTCACCTGGTTCATCCTTATGTCCATAACACCAAGTACTATACTTTCCATATGGTAGATGCTTAATAAATACATATTGAGTGGAAACTGTCAGGGGGAAGTGTGAAAGTAAGAAACATCCAGGTTTACCTAGCAGTCTAAGACAGATACAATGCCTGATAGAAGAGTTCCAGCCATTAGAAAAGGGCCCACTTTTTAATGCAACCCACTTCTGAAAGGCCTCACGTAACTAAGACTAAAGGCTGTATCTGTACCACTAACAGCTCAAAGATATAACTAGTGATCTCACAAAAATAGTCTCCACCATTTCCATAAAAAGACTCCAACAAGGGATGCCTGGGGGGCTCAGCAGTTTGGCACTTGCCTATGACTCAGGGTGTGATCCCATGATCCTGGAGTCCTGATCAAGTCCCACATGAGGCTTCCTGCATGGAGCCTGCTTCTCCCTCTGCTTATGTCTCTGCCTCCCTCTGTATGTCTCTCATGAATAAATAAATAAAATCTTAAAAAAAACCAACAAACTCAAAATACAATTAAAAACAATAAAAACTATGTTCTAGTATATATAGTTCATTAGTTATACCAAAGTTGGCACAAATACAACTCATAAAACTCAACCAAGCATATTCATACCGAGACAGGAATACTAGAAAACTGATTTAAGTATCGATATATTTTGGCTTTTAGAAAGAGATCCTCCATTCCAACAACCTCAGAAGCATCTATGTTTACACACTAGTATAACTTTTTACTTTGACCAGTGTGTACCAGCTTCCCATAGCTCAATCATTTCCAGATGAGTTAACAGATGTTGAATCTATCCTGCCTTGTACTTATGCTGGACTTAATAGATTCTCATAAAAGTGTCTCTGTCAGAACAGCAGGGCTGCGACACATAAGTCACATTACCGATATGATGAAGGTTTTCCTTGATGACTTCACATTCTATTGGCCACCTTGGTGCCTGCAGTGGCCCACTGCTAGGGAAGAAGGCAAAGAGATCTCGGGGTTCTCGAAGACATGGGTTTACTTCACCAAATTCATCATGAAGAAGTTGTCTGCTCTTAAGAGGTGAACTAAGCATAAGGGGATCTGCGGAGGGAAAGGGAATGAGTGAGCAGCTTTCTTTTCCTCTCCGGGGACATTACTGCTCGACTGTGACAACTAAGTGACTTGAAGCACTGTATTAGAATTAGGAGCAGAGGTGCACAATCCTACGACATGCATCTCCTTCAAAAATTAGATTTCGGCCAGGATAACAGCATCAAAATTGCCAAAGTTACATACACATTCTGTGCAGTCTATTAAATATTTAAATGTAAAGCTTGGAGAAATTTTTTGTTTTTTTAAATCAAATTATGTCATATTATTTTTGTTTAGAGAGAGGCAAAACAGGAAACTTTCATTTCACCCATTAGCATTGTAGAGAAAAGTAGCTAGGACTCTATTAATTAGGGTTAAACACTCTATAAATTAACTTTCAAGTTCAAAATACAGTGGTTGGGAGGACAGAGAGATGAATGACATGGGGGCCTAGGGGAGGGCAGAGGAACGAGCAGGCAGGAGAGAGATGAACTCTTGGGAAACAGGATGAGAGAAAAGGGAGGAAAAGAGGCTTCCAGGGTAGAGAACAAGGAAAATGAGGGGAAGAAGGAAAAGGAAGGAAAGAAGGGAGAGGAAAGGTCAAAGGTCCCTGGCATGGTGAGTGCCATATCTGGCAGGGAGAGCAGCGAGGAAAGGTCAAAGGTCCCTGGCATGGTGAGTGCCATATCTGGCAGGGAGAGCAGCGAGTGAAGACATCGTAAAGCAGGTTGAGTTTTCAGGTCTGGAAGGATATGGAATACCTCTGCTCACAGCTTCTATCTGTCTGTGCGCCGCTGAAGATACACAGGTGGGCCCTAGAAAGAGGAAGGAGGAGGCCTGGTTTGTCCTAGGGATCTGTGACTTGCTTCCCCCCCCTCCACACCCCCTCCCCCCCGCCGCCACTCTGTTTCCCTGTCCCTTTCTACCACCCCTCAACTACCAGTTAGGTCTCCATTTTTTATTCTTCCTTTCTTTTCTTTCTTTCCTTCCTTTTTTTAAAAAGACTTTATTTATTTATTTATTTATTTATTTATTTATTTATTTATTTATTTATTAAGATTTTATTTATTTATTCGTGAGAGATAGAGAGAGAGAGGCAGAGACACAGGCAGAGGGAGAAACAGGCTCCATGCAGGGAGCCCAAAGTGGGACCCCATCCCTGGTCTCCAGGATCAGGCCCCGGGCTGAAGGTGGCGCTAAACCACTGAGCCACCCAGGCTGCCCTATTTATTTATTTTAGAGAGAATGTGTGAACCTGGAAAGGAGCAGGGGGAAAGGGACAACCAGACTCCATGCTGAGGGCTGAGGCCAACTCAGGGCTCGATCTCACAACCTTGAGATCATGACCTAAGCTGAAATCAAGAGTTGGAGGCTTATCAAACTAAGCCACCCAGGCACCCCTCTTTTCCTTCTTTAAAAAAAAAAATTTTTTTTAAATTTTAGGGCCTCATTTTTTCCATCTCTTAATCTTTTCCTTAGTTTGATGGTGGTGGGGGAGGGCAATGAACATTTGAAAAGATGCTAAAGCTGCTCAATCTCACTCATGAAGAAATGTAAACCAGTATGACAAGGAGATATGTTTACCTAACAGACATGAAAAACATTTATGTGTTTTTACATTCATCCTGGCACAAGTGTAAGTAAACAGGTACTCTCAGAACCTGCCTGGCAAGAAGGCAAACTGGTAGTATGCCTGGGTGGCTCAGTCAGTTAGATGTCTGACCCTTGATTTTGGCTCAGGTCATGATCTCAGGATTGTGGGATCAGGCTCCATGATCAGCGGGGAGTCGGCTTGAGATTTTCTCTCTCTCTCCCACTCCCTCTGCCTCTCCTGCTCATGCTCTCTCTCTCTCCCTCTCCAAAATAAATAAATCTTAAAAAAAAAAAGATGTGTTGCAAAAAAATAAAATAAAATAAAAATAAATAAATAAATAAAATGCTTTGCTACAAAGATGGATGAAAAAAATGTCTTCTTCATGCAAATTATCAAAACAGGAAAAAAGAAGTCCTATTATTAATATATTCTAAAACTCATTCACTAGGGATGCCTGGGTATGTCAGAGGTTAAACATCTGCCTTTGGCTCAGCTCATGATCCCGGGGTCCTGGGATTGAGTCCCACATCGGGCTCCCTGCATGGAGTCTGTTTCTTTCTCTGCCTGTGTCTCTACCTCTCTCTGTGTGTCTCTCATGAATAAATAAATAAATAACTCTTAAAAAGACTTAAAAAAATAATAAAACTCATTCACGTTGTTACCTCTACCAACTGACTTTTATTTTTTATTATTTTTTAAGATTTTATTTATTTATTCATGAGAGACACAAAAAGAGAGAGGCAGAGGCACAGGCAGAGGGAGAAGCAGGTTCCATGCAGGGAGCCTGATGTGGGACTCGATCCCGGGACTCCAGGATCACGCCCTGGGACGAAGGTAGGTGCCAAACCACTGAGCCACCCAGGCATCCCTACTAGCTGGTTTTTAATTTCATGGTTTTTATGATACTGACACTGCCAAATGTTTTTTTTTTTTCAAATGTTTCTTATTAATGTTGAGTTATTAATGGGGCAGAAGGAAACAGAAGAGGGGCAAGCTGTAAGCCATCCCATCCAGATGAATCTCCTTTGCTCAACCACAGCCCTTCTACTCCCTGCCAGGAACTTTGGGACACAAGATTTCAAGGCATTGAGGTGTGAGCAAACATCTCTTTGAAAATGGGATTACTGCATCAAGGGTTATGTGCTATATTAAACTTCCCAGATATTGCCAAATTGCCTTTCTAAAATAATCTACCTATGCACAGCCCTAACAGCAGTGTAGGAGTGTTTCCCCACACTCTGACCTATATACTAGATGTAATTTAAAAAAAAAATTAAAAAAAAAATTTTTTTTTGCACAAATCCCACTAATTAAAAAAAATGGTACCTTGACATTTTGATTTGTATCTTTAATTAGAAGTTAAATTGAGCATCTTTTCATAAGCTTAAGTGTGGTTAAAAGAGCATCTTTTTCATAAGTGTGTGGTTTTTTAGAGATTTATTTATTTTTTTGAGAGAGAGCATAAGCATGCACACACAGGAGGAGATAGAGCAAGTGAATCTCAAGCAGACTCTCCACCCAGCATGGATCCTGATTTGGAGCTCAATCCCACAACCCATGAGATTATGATCTGCACGGAAACCAAGAGTCTGACACCCAACTGACTGAGCCACCCAGCACCCTATTTATTTTTATGAAAGGCTTGATCATGTCTTTTGCCCATTTTTTTTTTAATTTGGTCATCTTCTACATATTGATTTGTAAGAGCTACTATGTTAAATAAAGTAGTCCTCTGACATATTTGTCACAAACTCTTTTCAGTTTGTTATTGTTTATTCATTTTTTATAAAGATTTTATTTTTCCATTCATGAGAGACAGAGAGAGAGGCAGAGACACAGGCAGAGGGAGAAGCTGGCTCCCTGCAGGGAGCCCGATGTGGGACTCGATCCTGGAACTCCAGGATCACGCCTTGAGCCAAAGGCAGATGCCCAACCGCTGAGCCACCCAGGTGTCCCTGTTATTCTACTTTATTAATGGTATTTTATAGCTTTTGGCTTTTGTGTGGTCCAAAGGTTTTAACTAGGAGTGCCTGGGTGGCTCAGTTGGTTAATTGTCTGCCTTTGGCTCAGGTCATGATCCCAGGGTCCTGGCATCGAGATCGGAGTTGGGCTCTCTGCTCAGCAGGGAACCTGCTTCTCCCTCTCCCTCTGCAGCTCCCCCTGCTTGTTCTCTCTCTGTAAAATAAATAAATAAAATCTTTTTTTTTTAAAGGTCTTAACTAGGGCAGCCTCAGTGGCTTAGCGGTTTAGCGCCGCCTTCAGCCCAGGGTGTGATCCTGGAGACCCGGGATCGAGTCCCACAGCGGGCTCCCTGCAGGGAGTCTGCTTCTCCCTCTGCCTGTGTCTCTGCCTCTCTCTCTCTTTCTGTGTCTCTCATGAATGAATGAATGAATGAATGAATGAATGAATAAATCTTTAAAAAAATAAAAATAAATAAAAGGTCTTAACTAGAAAAAGGACACAATCAGATTCACAATAAAAAAGAATGCTATGTGGGAAATGGATTGAAAGAAATTAGTATGAAATAAGAGAGGAATTCAAGAGACTAGTAACTGAGGCTGTTTGAATAGTTAGAAATTATGGTAAGTCCAACTGGAATCAGGGAGGATGTGGGGAAAAGAAAAGTGAAGTGATGTCTGGTTGGTTATGCATTGAGGGAGAAATTCAACTGCACTCGCTCCTTAAATTCCAGAAGGAATCTGTGAAATTCTTATGAAAAATTATTTCTGGGGGGTGCCTGGGTGGCTCAGTGAGCTGAGCATTCCAACTCTTGGTTTCACCTTAGGTGGTGATCTTGAGGTTGTTGGATTAAGTCCTGCATTGGGCTCTACACTCAGTAGGGAGTCTGCTTGTCCTTCTCCCTCTCCTCCTCTCTCTCTCTCTTAAAATAAATAAACAAACAAATAAATAAATAAAATAAAATAAATAGTTTTGCTTAAGCTAGCTGAAATTGGTTTCCACCACTCTTACACAAAGTGCCTTAACAAATATCTCCATCAAAACCATATACAAATCAGGGCACCTGGATGGCTCAGTCAGCTAAGCATCTTGCTTTGGCTCAAGTGATGATCTCGGAGTCCTGGGATGGAGCCCTGCACCGGGTTCCCTGTTCAGCAGGGAGTCTGCTTCTCCCTCTGTCCCTCACCCTGCTCATGCTCTCTCTCTCTCAAATAAATAAATAAATCTTTTTTAAAAATTGTGTAAAAATCAATGTGCTACTCTTGACTAAGGAATCCTAACAAATTTTCCAAATATTTGAAGAAAAATAATCCAGAATGTATAGTATTTTAATTAAACCTGTAATCCAAAGTGGATCTAAATATAACATTTTTGAGTGATATCAGAAACTGGCCAAAGTTGTTCCTCTGGCTTTTCCTACATTCTCCTGAATCCCAAGGAGTTGCTCTGGCAGTGAGGTTTCCGGGGTTCACACACACTGATCATTACTCACATAGTAGCTTCTCCTTTTGCAGGGGGTCTGGTATCACATCTTCTCTTTCTCCAAAAGAGCCACTCAGCCCATATCGAGGATTATTCTTCCGAACATGCTGGTGTGAAGCTGAGTTTGGTAAACTGCCTCTCTGAGCTACAAATATGCAATTTAATTAAAGGTACTGGAAGGCTGGTTCATCATCTGTAACATCTAGATCAATACCAAAAGCATCACTACTATCAAAACTGCCCCTACGTCTGTTACCACCCATCACCACCACAGGCCTTTACAATGAATACATTCCAAAGAGAATACATTTCCAAAGAGCTTTCCATATTCCAATTTACATGAGTTTAAGCATCATTTTCTCCATTGTATGGTGAGGAGAGACTTGAGAAGCAGCATGGTAGAGTAGAAAGAGAAAAATGCCCAAAGCTGCTTTGTCTCGAGGGCTCTGCTGAATCTGGCAAACTGGAATATCAATTTTCAACAAATTAGGAATCACTTTATAAAAATGAAATAGTTGGGTAGCCCAGGGGGTTCAGTGGTTTGGCGCCGCCTTCAGTCCAGGGTGTGATCCTGGAGACTTGGGATCGAGTCCCACATTGGGCTCCCTGCATGGAGCCTGCTTCTCCCTCTGCCTGTCTCTCTCTCTCTCTGTGTCTCTCATGAATAAATAAAATCTTTAAAATTAATTAATTAATTAAAAAGAAACAGTTAAGGGGTGTCTGGGTGGCTCTGTCGGTTAAGTATCTGCCTTTAGTTTGGACCATGATCCCAAGGGTCCTCAGATAGAGCCCTGCCTCAGGCTCCCTGCTTATTAGAGAGCCTGCTTTTACCTCTCCCCCCTGCTCGTGCTCTCTCTCACTATCACTCTCTCTCTCAAATAAATAAGTAAAAACTAATACAATAATAATAATAATAATAATGAAATAATTAATAAGATTAATAAGGTTGATGGAAATAAAATCAATATTGAACTTAATTTTATTTCTAAATACCAGGAACAAAATTATAAAATAAAATTTTTTTTAAGATTTTATTTATTCATAAGAGACACAGAGAGGCAGAGACACAGGCAGAAGGAGTAGCAGGCTCCCTATGGGGAGCCTGATGCAAGACTAGATCCCAGGACTCCAGGATCATGACCTGAGCCAAAGGCAGATGCTCAACCACTAAACCACCCAGGTGCCCCAAAAGTCAAAATTTAAAGCGATACCATTTATGGTAGCATAACAATATGAAGCTCCATGAAAAAGTTAGAAATCTGGGGCAGCCTGGGTGGCCCAGCGGTTTAGCGCCGCCTTCAGCCCAGGGCCTGATCCTGGAGACCCCGGATCGAGTCCCACGTCGGGCTCCCTGCATGGAGCCTGCTTCTCCCTCTGCCTGTGTCTCTTCCCCAACCCCCTCTCTCTGTGTCTCTCATGAATAAATAAAATAAAATCTTAAAAAAAACGTTAGAAATCTTTTTTTTTAAATTTATGATAGTCACACACAGAGAGAGAGAGAGAGAGAGAGAGAGAGAGAGAGAGAGAGGCAGAGACAGAAGCAGGCTCCATGCACCAGGAGCCCAACGTGGGATTTGATCTCGGGTCTCCAGGATCATGTCCTGGGCCAAAGGCAGGCGCCAAACTGCTGCGCCACCCAGGGATCCCCAAAGTTAGAAATCTTATGGGCAGACAGTGAGACCTATGTAAATGAAGAAATAGAGTACATTCATATATCGCAGAACTCCCAAAATATAAGAATTAAAATTTAATAAAAAAGGATCGCAGAACCCAACATTGGAAAACTCTCATTTCTTGTGAAATTTGATCTGTAGATTCAATGCAACCTCCATTTTTTTTTTAAAAACATCTCAAGCTAATTCTAAAATGACACGGAAAAGGCGAGAATGGCCAAGAGACTTCTGAAGGACAGAATGGAGGATGTGTCTTTGCAGATCAGTAAAACGATTTTGATGCCCTACGGTGAAATTAAGGAAGAGTGTGTGGCCTTGGTACAAGGACAGACAGGTCCTTGCCTACACAGGCCCTCAAAAGAGGTGATATAGGGATCCCTGGGTGGCGCAGCGGTTTGGCGCCTGCCTTTGGCCCAGGGCGCGATCCTGGAGACCCGGGATCGAATCCCACATCGGGCTCCCGGTGCATGGAGCCTGCTTCTCCCTCTGCCTGTGTCTCTGCCTCTCTCTCTTTCTCTCTCTGTGACTATCATAAATAAATAAAAATTTTAAAAAAAAGGACTTTTCTTTAAAAAAAAAAAAAGAGGTGATATAGCACATCAATGGGGGAAAGAAGGTACTTTCCCCTTCATCTTTCCCTCGTGGCCCTAGAAAAATCTGTCATTAGTGTATCCAAGTGTAACTCCCGAGTTAATCGAACAGTTCACGAAGACAGAAAAGGCCATGCTGGGTAAGAATGAGATAGTACCTTTAAAGTAGCCATAGTATTGAAGATGATGGTACATAAAGTCTTCATAGGGATCAGGGCAAGTCTGTGAAAGGAAAAGCCATCTCCATCAGCAAAGTCCTTCCAAACCGTTCTTGAGTCCCCAAGGACTTGCGTCAACAAACCAAGTGAGCGACATTCATGCACGTTATTCTATCTTGGGGGCTCAAGATCTCCTGCCAGAAAAAGGCGCCCCCAGAATATACCTTCTGATCTAGCAGTACTGGATTTCTGAGGAGTTCCCGGAGAGGGAGTGTACCGACCTCCTGCTTCAGCTCTGTTTCCAATGCTGGGAACATGTTTACTTCCGCATGGTTTGCTGAAGATGAGTCCGTGACACCGGCATCCAGCCACAACCCCTGCCCAATTTCCAAAAGGGCAGCTGATTACACAGAAGCTAAAACAAAAACAAAAACAAAAACACCAGAACGGACAGCTGAAAAAAACTGCCGAAAGTCGCCCCACGCGATTTCAGGAAAGCCTGCCGCGTCGCTCCGTCGGCCCCGGCAACCCAGCCTCTCTGGCGTGCAAGCCGCAGGCTCCCGGCACCTGGTCCGAGGCCCCGGGGGCACACCTGAGCAGTGAGCGAGGGCGGCCAGTCCCGCGGCCTCCGCCTCCCGCGGCGCCAGGACCCTTGCGGGGGTGCCATGCTTCCCTCTCGGAGGAGGGAGATGCCCAGCACCAGGACGCAACAGGAAAGTGAAAGAAATGGGGACGGAGGGATTCCAACGGAGCGGCCTCGGAGGAGATAAAAGAAAGGTCAGGGGACCCGGACCGTGAGCCCTGAAAGTGGAATTCAGGGGCTCAGGGTTTTCTGGTCGCGGGGAAGGTGGTGAGGCGCAGTTTCCCTTGAGTCGGAGAGGAGGCGTAGAGATTGCCTAGGAGGGCAGAGGGGAGGAAGGGTGCGAGGCCTCCGCTCCCCGGCCCGTCTCGCGCAGCAGGGTGTGCGCGGCGCCCGCAGCGGCAGAGGCCACTGCACGGCGGGGACAGCGGCCCAGCCCCGCAGCCCGCGCAGAACACGCTCCCGGCGCTCACCCGCCACCGCTTTCCGCTGGGGACCCGGTAGCCTAGCAACCGCGAGGCGGAAGCGGGAGGGCGGGGCGGCTGGACGCTTCCGGCAGCGAGGCCCCGCCTCCAGGGCAAGGGCGTGGGCGTGGCTGTGAAGCCGGGGCGGGTCCCGCGCCGCTGGCCTCTGAGGTTTCGGAAGCTTTTCTGCCTTCGTTCGGTGTTGCAGCTCCGCTTCTGTTACCGAATTTGGATTGAATACAAGGCCAGTTAGTGGTCCTCAAAGATGTTCCAGACTTCTTAAGCATCTGACTCCTGGTTGGTTTGAACTCAGGTCGTGATCTTAGGGCCTCCGAGGAGTCGGCTTAGGATTCTCTCCCTCCCCCTTTCGTGCTCTAAAATAACAAAATCTTTAAAATTAGGTTAAAACTAGGTAACTGTTAGGGGTTGCTCAAAGGGAGCGGGTTCCCCTCTCCTTTTTAAGCCAGAGAGTCAGGATCTTCTCTCACCTCGTCAAAGAATCAATCTCGTAGATAAAAGGGAGTAAAGCAAGGAGTTTTATCAGGAGTGGGAGGGGTCCTGACAGGTTTGCCACTGAGGGCTTTCAGGATCAGTCTTTTATTGAAAGCTAACCAGGGAACTTGTATCTTTTTAGCTTCTCTACTGGCAGCACCATTAAGGACTGGTGATTAACATCTTTAACGGCTTCTTAGGGTCTGGTTATTTTCTGTTGACCACAGGACAGTGATGAAACACACACACACACACACCCTTTGGACACCTAGGGCAGCGTGGTCTGGTGTGTTCGCTTATCTCTGGTTTCCTTACCACCTCATTTTGGGGATTTCTGTGAGCCTGATCACATAGTCCCCCTACTTCTCCCTACCTAGTCTTGCCTGTCCCTTACTTTTGATGAAGGTGCAGGATAGTTGATAAGGCACAAGCTAACACCCTGCAACCTCTGCACCCCCGCTCCCAGGTGGGACATGTGACATTTCCCCAGGAAGTTCCTGTCTTACTAGAGGGAAAAACCTTGACAAAGGCAAGGCCTCCAGTATCCTCTAGGTAGGTCCTCTTTAGCATATGTGATTTCTTCTGAAAACCTCCCTTTTCCCCTACTCCTAACTCCCAAGTATATTATCAGCCACCCCTCACAACCGCAGCAGCTTTCTGCCCATGTGTCCTGTCCCCATGCTTTAATAAAACCACCATTTTGTACCAAAGACGTCTCAAGAACTCATTCTTGGTCATTGGCTCTTGACCTCACCCCACCAAACCTCAACATTCCTAAACTACATCATTTTGACCTTATATCTCACCACCCCATAGCTAGATTTGAAAACTTACAGGAAAACGGAATCCACACATTTTGACCATCAAATTCTCAGATTTTAGAATGCTCCATTCTGGGGTCACCTGGGTGACTCGGTTGAGCATCGGTCCTCGGCTCAGGTCATGATCTCAGGGTCCTGCGATCTAGCCCTGCATTGGGCTCTCTGCTCAAAGGAGAGCCTGCATCTCCCTCTGCGCCTCTGGACCCCTATGTGCCCCTTACTCATGCTCTTTCAAATAATGCCTATTTTCTCACCTTGGCCCCGCCCTCACCTCCACGGATTCAAGATCCTGTTTTCCTGAGAGCGATCCTTTAGTATTTACACCTGCCTTATGCTGTATTTGATAAGAAATAACAATTAAGATTGGACTTAAGGGGCAGGCTGGATGGCTCAGCAGCTTAGTACCTGCCTTTGGCCCAGGGTGCAATCCTGGAGTCCCGGGATCAAGTCCCACGTTGGGCTCCCTGCATGGAACCTGTTTTTCCCTCTGCCTGTGTCTCTGTATCTCTCACAAATAAATAAATAAAATTAAAAAAAAAAAAAAAAAAGACTGGACTTAAATATCTTGATTACACAACAATGAAATAACAGGCTTAGAAGAGCAAAAAGGATAACAAATCAGAAGTATAAAAAAAGCTTTATTAGAGCATATGTACAAATTTACAAGGTCAGAAACTGGAGAAATACAAAGAGCTTTAAAACACAATTTGCCTTTTCTTCAGTTTAAAGTGACTTTTACCTGATTGTGATACAATAGAAAGTACAGAATAGTAAACTGCTTTTTAAATACTGGAATTTTATGGAGAGTACATTCACATAAAAGGGAGGTGAATTTTGGAACAAAGACAATGGAGACACAATACATATAGTGGCTCTTATTACATTTACTGCCACATACATGAGGGGAAATCCTCAAAATTAAAGATCTGAACGCCTGCTGCTGCCTGTAATGAAATCTGAATACATCACTAGTATGTGAAATGACTGAACTACCAGTTCTAGAATTTGTGAGAAAGAGTTCTCTAAAGAGTGTGGCCATCTGTCAGCACAAAGTAAACACCTCCATATACCTCAGCACTTCAGGGGTGGCAGGCTAGAAGAGGTCAGAGATTCTGAAAATCCCAGTTCAGCAAAATAGAATACAGAGCTGCCTTCTTAATTGCACTTGTTCTGGAGTAGAAGTGAATGAGAGAGAGCTGCACTAGGAACTAAAGGAGCCTCTATGAAACAGGAAAATCCTTCACTTATTGTCAGTGAGTCCTCTGCTGAGGTATCACACTCCTGACTCACATGTTCCAGATCGATGAGGTTAATGTACCTGATATGCTGAGTTTGCCAGTGTGAGAATAAAGGCGGCTATGTCAAAGCATTTGGTCAACCTCACCCTTCAGCAAAATAGAAAAATTACATTTCACAAATGTGAAAGCTCTATACATGTATGCTTTTGCCCAGGAAATTCATATGCTCTCCCTCATAACATTTATAGTTTATTGACAACAGTAAAACTCGTGAAGACTCTTAACTGAATGCAAAAAAAACAAAAAACACAAAAACATCAGTAATAAAAAAACCCCTTTCCCCCAAAAACTATGTGTTTGGAGCCATTTTCCTCCTCTTCAGCCTTGCACGCCAATCCTCAGGAAGTGCTTCAAAATTAGCATTCCTCTCTGCCATGCCACTGTGAAGACAACACCAACATATTCTTCATCAAATTTCTTAATTCTGATGGGTCAACCAAAGACACACACAGCCTCTCTACAATTTTATGGATACTTAAGTGCACTGTTTATCTTTATCTACCTCCAGTAACCATTAAAGTCACACTGAAGGATTACAACAATTCTTGTGAAAGTTTTTCTTGGCCCCAAAGAGTTTCAATTCTTTAGGAAAGATATATTTTAACCCTCAACTTACCATCAGGAACCTCTGGATTTTTGAAATTCCTCTTTGAACACTTCTAAATACTTATAAGGACTGATACCTCAAGGCTTATTCAATCATTTTCAAAACAGATTAAATTCAGATTTTTAAATATTTTTTTTATTTATTTAATTGAGAGTCCTCGCTTTGGCAGCACATATATTTATTTGAGACAAAGAAAGAGGGGAAGGAGAGAGCTGGAACAGTGGGAGGGGCAGAGGAGAAGCAGACTCCACACTGAGCAGGGAGCCCTATATGGGAATTGATCCAGGGACTCCCAAGATCATGACCTGAGCTGAAGGCAGATGCTTAACTGAATGAGTCATCCAGGTGCCCTAAACTCTGATTCTATCCTACAATAACCAGAATGGGTGGATTGGACCCTTTTATAAATCTAAAATAATCTAATTATAGGATATTTGTGATTCCCCACCTATCATCTTGAAATAGTCTATTTCATCATTATAGGAATTAATCATTACTCAATTCCCAGCAATACTAAAAGAAAAACCCTAAAATAATAGGAAAACAATAATGGAATCACCTACAAGGATGAGGCAACAGTATAATAAAATGTCACTAATAGCATTCCTCAGTTTCCTTATTGTGTTACCCAAAATAGTACAAAATAGTATACAACCTTTCATGGAAGTAAAGCAGTCTGGAGGCCTCTTCATAGTACCCTCCCACCCCAATATTATTACTATTTTTAAGTAAGCTCTATGTCCAACAAGGGGTGTGAACTCACGACCCTAAGATCAAGAGTTGCATGGTCTAGGGATGCCTGGGTGGCTCAGTGGTTGAGCATTTGCCTTCAGCTCAGGGCGTGATCCTGATCGAGCCCCACATTAGGCTCCCTGCAGGGAGCCCGCTTCTCCCTCTGCCTATGTCTCTGCCTCTCTCATGAATAAATAAAACCTCAACAAAAAAAAAAAAAAACAAAACATCAGTTATTTTGTAACAGGAACCAAGTTACAAAATAATATTTCCCTAAAATAACACGTGATAGGAATCTTTCAGGTTTTAGGATGCTGTATGCTACAATTCATTTCAGAGAGTTCGTAAGTAGACAAATGCTGAAAGCAGGTGCGTAATAACTGTGGAGAAGTAGATACTTTAGGAACAAAAAAATTCCTTATAATGACCATTCCAATTGGTTCATGTATCTAAAAATAAAAATGTTCTGAATTATGAAACAAAAAATGATGATCCTCTTCCAAATGTTTTCATAAGTACTGCATTTATTGATGTTACAAGTATAAGAATCAGAAGTAATGATAAGCTAGAACCTATCAGAAGAATGGGAAATATTGCAGCACTATTTGTATGTTCCAAGTCATGCATGACAATCAAACAATTAGTTGCCTTCAAAGAATGTTTCTCAGTTTAGCCTATATACCTTCAAAACCAGGAAAAATATCTTGAGTTAGCTATGTTTAAATTCTTTGCAAAGTCTCGATAGTGAAGTTTTTCTCCCTTCCTTTTAAAAGTCTTTTTTAAAAATAAGCTCTGCACCCAATGTGGTGCTTGAACTGACAACCCCAAGATCAAGAGTTCCATTCTCCACTAAGTCAGCCAGATGCCCCCATCTTTTATTTTTGTAAATCCGTAAAATATTTTTTAAAAAATTTATAGGAGGGCCTGTTGGATCTACATGATAAAAGGGACATCTGTTTATCCTGGTATGCTCAGAGTTAAAGACAGTCCTATTCTTAAAAGGAACAATCAGTAGGATAAAGTGTTAAAGCTCTGATGTTTCTAATTTTGAAAAAGGGTAAATCGTAATTTTTACAGGGAAAAAAAATTACTGTGAATCATAAACTTTTAGGAAAGTTCGTACCAAAATATCAAAAAAAAAAAAAAATTAAGGACTGTGATTCAAAGAATATGACTGCTACTCTAAAACCTCCCACTCCTTGTAGCCTCTCTTCTTTTACCTGACCAGCTGCTGCTGTTTCCACTCTTCAATTCGCTTCTGTGCAGTTGATTCCCGGTCCTCTTCACTGGAACTAGAGTTCTCTTCTTCATCTAACTCACGCTGGATACTCTGCCACTTCTTTACCAGAGACGGCATTTTGGTTTTACT